CAGGTCGCTTGTGGGGGAATGTAAACAGCCGTAATAATCACTGCTGTAAATTCCCTCGGTAGCCAGAATGGCCGGCACTTAATCATCAGGTACTCCAGGTCCGGTGAGCAGAAGGATTTGACCGGGTGCACGTTCGCATAATCACACCAGCTGTTGTTGATCATGAAACACACACCACCGCCTCTGCTTTTCCCAGTAAGATCCTGTGACCTGTCCGCGCGATGCACGAGAACCCCGGTAGTTGTATTGCGGAGTCCGGTACCTTGTCCGATAGCCAGGTTTCTGTGAGGCAGATCACGCAGCAGTCCCGCATCTCTCGCTGGAATGAGATCCGTGCCCGAAGCTCGCACAGCTTGTTCTCCAGAGACTGCACATTAGCCAGTAATAAACTGGGTAACGGTGGTCTGTTAGTGCGCCGTCTCAGTCGAACCAGAACGCCAGATCTTCTCCCTCTGCGTCGGCGTTTGCGGCCTCCAGGGCCAGAGAACAAAGGCGTCTCAGGTGAGATGAATGGGGGGTCTGCAAACGGAGCGTCCGTGTTGCAAAACTTGAACTCCGGAAAGTTATAAGAAAGACCGTCTTTTATGTCCAGTAAGGTTTGTCGGTCGTACACAAGGAGACATGTGCTACTCGCGAAAAAATGAAGGAAAAGTAAAATTAAACACAGAAAAAAGCTGTTGCTTGGGGGAGCTCGCGACGAAGGCTGCCATACTCGGCGCCATCTAAAGAAATCAGCTGATTTCAGTTCACGTGCCAGAGGACGAAAACAGTGGCACAGTCTAAGAGAGTTGATATGGACATTACTCTTATTTTTATTGAACAATGGGACAAGAGTTTGATGGCAAAGTGGAGACTGCTTCTAGGAAAGAAACAGCTGGATCAAGCTGCTAACACAACTTTGGCTTGTTGCAAGTATCTGCACGGACAGCATGTTAATGATAAGCCAGCCAGACAACATGCTAACACTAAGCTAGCCAAGAACCCAGAGTGAAAGCTGCGTGAATGCTGACCCCAACTTAGCAGGGAGATGCTGAACTTCAACAGGTAACAAACTGATGAGCTGTCAGGCTGCAGCCTTTTTACTTGTGCATTATGATCGCTTTAAAGTTAAACCCTTTATTAATCTCCATCCATCCATCTTCTTCTACTTATCTGGGGCCAGGGCACACAGGAAGCAGCCTAACCAGAGAAGCCCAGACCTCTCTCTCCCTGGCCACATCCTCCAGCTTGCCCGGGGGAACACCATGACATTCCCAGGCCAGCCAAGAGATTTTATCTCTCCAGCATATCCTGATTCTGTACTGGGCAGTAAAGGGGCAGCCTCCCAGTGGAACATGCCCAGAACACCTCACCCAGGAGGCATCTTTGTCAGAGGCCCCAACCACCTCAACTGACTCCTTTTGATGTATAGGAGCAGTAGCTCCTATTCATACAGCAAGGGAGCAAGGGACAAGCCAGCCACCCTTCGGAGAAAGCTAATTTCCGCTCCTTGCATCCACGACCTTGATCTTTTGGTCACTACCCAAACTCGTGAGGTGAGGGTAGAGATGTAGATCGACCGGTAAATCACTCAACTTCTTTCTTCCCCACAATGGACCGGGGCAGCATCCGCATCACTGCAGCCACAGCACCAATCCGTCTATTGATTGTCCACTTCATTTTCTCGTCACTCATGAACAAGACCCCGAGATACTTAAAATACTCCACTTTGTTCAGGAGCTCGCCCTGACCCGGAGTTTGCACTCTACCCTGTTCCGGCTGAAGACCATGGCCTCAGATTGGGAGATGCTGATTCCCACCACTTCACACTCAGCTGCGAACTGTTCCAGTGCGAGCTAAAGGCCATCACCAAGTGAAAGTCTTCTGCCACTTGGCTACGTCTAAAATTCTGTCCATAAAGATTACGAACATGTCCGGTGACCAAGGGAAGCCTGGAGCTCTTGCAATGGTTGTATAAGGACTGAATGGCCCGTAGCAATGAGCCAGACACCCCATAGTCCCAAAGCACCTCCCACACGACACTCCAAGTGTCATGGTTGAATGCCTTCTCCAAGTCCACAAAACACGTGTAGAATGGTTGGGCAAACTCCCATGCACCCTCAAGTATCCTCGAGAAGGTAAAGAGCTGGTCCAGTGTTCCATATCCAGGACAAAAACTGCATTGTTACTCCTGTATCCGAGGTTTGACTAAGGGATGGACTGTCTTTTCCAGCACCCTGGCACAGACTTTTCCAGGGAGGGTGAGGAGTGTGATCCCCCTATAGTTGGAACACACCCTCCGGTCCCCCTTCTTAAAGATGGGAACTACTGCCCTGATCTGCCATGCATCATTGTAGAGACATGTCAACCAAGACAGTGCTACAACATTCAGAGCCTTCAGGAACACCAACAATGACGACACCGCCTACAGAGATGAGGTCCAGCATCTGACAGAATGGTGCAACTACAATAACCTTACCCTAAACACCAGGAAAACCAAGTAAGTGGTCATGGACTTCCTAAGACAAAAACTGATCCCCCTCCCCTATCCATAAAGGGTGACTATGTGGAAAGGCTGCCCTTCTTTAAGTTCCTCTGTACCCACATCTCCAAGGACCTATCTTGGACCACAAACACATCAGCCCTAGTGCAGAAAGCCCAGCAGTGCCTCCATTTCTTGAGGGTTCTGAGATGGAAGAGGCTGCAGACTGACCTACTAGTGTCCTCCTATCGAGCCACAATCAAAAGTGTGTTGATGCTATGCCATCTCCGTGTGGTACGCTGGTTCCAGCAACAGCCAATAAGAAGAGACTCCAGAGAGTCATCAGAACTGCAGAGAATGTGATCGGCTGTCCACTCTCCCCCCTGGACTCCATTGCCAGCTTGAGATGTCTCTCCAAAGCCAATGTGATTATTTATAGTTGGTTTACATAGCTTTGTGTATGTATGTGTAATGTGTATATATAGACACGTGTGTGTGTGTGTGTGTGTGTGTGTGTGTGTGTGTGTGTGTGTGTGTGTGTGTGTGTGTGTGTGTGTGTGTGTGTGTGTGTGTGTTGTGTGTGTGTGTGTGAGATTTACATTGTGTGCTTGAGAGCCACCATCTACCGGAACCAAATTCCCTGTATGTGTCTGCACATATACTTGGCCAATAAACACGATTCTGATTCTGATTCTGATTCTGATTATAAAAGACCATCCTAACCACCACCTCATCAACATCCTGCCCTCTGGAAAAAGGTTCAGATCCATCAGGTGCAAAAACAATAGACTAAAAAAAGAGCGTCTTCCTGTCAGCTATCACAACTCTCAATGCAAATTAAGAGTGTGAACAAACTTCTCCCACACAATCACTCTGTCGCTGCTATTGACTATGTTGCTACCATTCCATATGCAGTATTTTGGTCTTCCCTTTTTCTGTGCAATATTTTGGCCCCTGTGCAATATGTGCAATATTTTGGTCTGGCAGATGTGCAATTACTATCCCCATGCTAAATGACCATAGCCCTTCAATCCTTACTTATATATTATATTGTATTACTGCCTTTCTACGCACCAATATAATGTTTCTGTGACTCATACACTGTGTATATAGTTTACTTATTTATATATATTAGTGCTGTAAAAATTAACGCATTAATGCAAATTAATCCGCCATCACGGTCAACACGATTAAAATTTCTAACGCATATTAACGCATCTGGAGTGCAGAATAACTCAAAATCCCTGAAATGTTTCTGTCAATGCATTTCGGGCAGTTTGTCCAAGCACCTTCACACACGCGCAAATGGGCAGTTGATCTGGTAGTGACTGCTGAACCAATCAACTCAATATGGAAGATGATAAACGCACATTGGCCCTCTCGATGGGAAATTTGAGTATGAAAAAAAATAAGAAGGAAAAGTTGACCGACATAAAGTATCATGCACATTGTGCATTTTCTTTCACCAAAGCGCTTCCATCATAAAATATCACATTGACGCAAAGCATACGTTAGTTGGGGATGCAGCTAGGACTTTGGCTAACGCGTCATCCAGCCTGCGACAAACCACTCACAGAGCATCGGGGACACAGTAAGTCTACCTCAAAAATATTAACTGACACAATTGCCAAGTAGATTGCAGACCTATTAATATGTAGGTCCTATATTAATGCGAGAACATGCGCTTTACATAGCTTTGGTTCCTCGTTTCAAGGACTTGAAGTGCAAGAGTAACAGAGAGAGAGTGGATAAATGTTTACAGAGTTTTTTGTTGACGTGAATGTTCAAGATGTTTGATAAACATGTTAAGTGCATATATTTTCCCTTTTTTCTCCAGTCTGTTTCCTCATGCAAAAAGAAATGTGATTAATATAGAATAAAAATGAATTATATTAAAACCCCTCCATCACAACAAGGTAGCAATTCATAGAGGGACCTTTATTAATCTATGTGGGTGTATTTGAGTTGTAGGTATGGATTCCCATGGAAGATCATCATCTTGCAATATATCAGATTTTCCTTCTAGCTGTTCAATGCTCAGCTTCATCTCAGCTTCTGCTCCCAGTGTATTGTCGCTTTTAACTTGTACTACTTCTGTGTCTCTCCTTGGTTCACTTCCTCCTCATCATCCTGCTTATATCTTCACGCAACCCATTCACCTTCAACCAATAAAACTGAGTAATAACATAAAAGTCTTGTTGAATTATTACCTTGTATGCTTAGTGTGTCTCGCCTCTCTTTCAATCTCCATGAATTTTCTGCCCTGCTGCATCTCATTAACTTTGTGTCTACTCTCTCCGGTAGTTTGTCCATTGTCTTTCTCATACCTGTCTGAAGTTTCTTCCTTTTAAAAGTGAGCTTATCGTTCTCCACTGTGGCTGAGTCTCACACCAAGGGTTCGGCCCTAGTATGTGAAGTGCTTTGAAAGCACAGTATATACAAATGAATTAAATTTGTCTCCCACACTGGCACCCATGTCAGTGATAGCAAGACCAAAGTAATAAAAAAAACCTGTCATGGTGTTTCCTCCTTTATATGGCAAGTTGGCAACAGCATTCAGCAGGGATTCTTTGGTGTGGTGGGTGTTCAGGTGCCATTCAGTCTTTGGGTCACCGCTGTACTGAGCCAGACCTGCAGAAAATACAACACTAGATAAAGCAACTCTGATTTGGTGTTAAATAGCTTATTTCAGACAGAGCTTAGGGTTAGATCAGGGAAGATTTAATTGTGACTCATGCAAAGCTACTCTAGTAAATTTAAAAAATAAAAATGGGCAGATATGAGCAGAATATCTTGAGATTACAAGAGGTTCAGGTTAGGCAAATACTGAGAGACAGCTGTCTGGAGGAAAACATCCCTCCATGTGAGTCTTGTTGTTATAGTAACAACAGTGAAAGCTTTACCGATCTGGACTCTGTCAGGGCCGATGTCAAACACGCTGACCAGGCGAGCGATGAAGCTGCGGATGGTTTTAAAGTTTTTGCGCCCAATGCTCCATGAGCCGTCGACTAGCAGCATGATGTCAGCCTTTGCTGTGGTCTTACACTGAGTGTCTGCAGAGACTGTGGTGTTGGGAGAAGAGGAGGTTAGTGAGACACCTTATCAATAGGAAATTTCTACTTTTGCATGACTAAAGACACATTTGGTCAATATATCCAGAGCTCAGGAGTAATCTAATGTAGCTCTAAAAAGAGCTAATGAAGACATATGCTTATAGTGATGCCATTAAAGCTCAGTGCTGTAGCATATGAGGGGGTCAGTTGTGCAGTTTATATATGTTCATGTCAACACTTGATCAAATATAACTCTGCTCCACATTACACTCACACTGAGATAGTAAGGATAGTGCTATCCCTGTGTGAGTGTAATGTGAGGCAAGCATCTCTATATAATTTCATCCAATCGTAATCATCTGTGCCAAGTTTCAGTCCCAAAGCGACAGCGACTTCAATTCCGCGTGAGAACATATAAATCATAGTCTTGGCACTAATCTGATCTCTGACTTCAATGTCAGAGATCAGAGAGTGTCTGCTCTGCAGGCCTGCTAACGAGTGCGGTGAGAAGTTTTTTGGCGGCTTTTACCAGAAGGATCTAGAGGAGGAGATTTGGGTTCATCCGTGAGGGTCGGCTTTTCATCTCCTGCACACTTTAAACTAAAACAAAAAAAGCTCTATTATATTTTTGCATTTTAAAAAAACCAACAACAAAAAAACCCACACACAAAATAACAACAAGTTGGATTATAAAATCTATAAAACTAACCTAAGTGGTAAACCATTTACCAATATTTACTTTTTTAACTCCAAACTGAGATGTAACTTTACCCCTTAAGAGATTCCCTTTGAAGGAGTTTTCTCTGAAAACAATGTGTTTGTGTTCAGTGTTTCTCAGACAAAAGAAAATTGTAAGTTTAGTAGATACACTGTAAAACGTTACATTAGCTTAAAGTGCTAAAACACAGATTTGGGAGGTTTTACCTGTTGTTTTACAGCATGCCTGCTATAATCAGAATACAATCGGCAATCATTGTACCAATGTAGACTACAAAAGTTTATTTTTGGAAAAGCTTTACGGTTTTATTACTATGCATCAACCTTGTATCCTGTATTCAGCTAGCTAAGTTGCTACCTAAACATTAGCACTGTTTATGTGTTTAACACATATACACAAAGTCTAAGCACAGAAACACAACTTCCGCACATCAAAATGAATGATTTTAGTGTAAAAATGTACATTTCTATCAGTCTTTGTGCAATCATAAAGTAATATGGAAGAACACTGTAAAAAAGGTTAGTAGTCTACTTTCATGTACTGTATCCAGTTTGCTATAGCCTTCCTGTAGGAACCCATAACCTGTATTTTCATAGCAAGTTGTTAGAGTCACTATCTAACCCTTATCTTATGTATCCCTTATCTTTAACCACATTAAATTTTTTGTTTTTTTACCACAGCAGATCATCTGCCTCCATCTCACCCTATCCCTTACATCTTCTCTCACATCAACCCTCTGAATGTCCTCCATGAAACTTGTCTGTGGACTTCCTCTTTTCATCCATTCATCTCTACCATACAAAGAAAGATTTGTAAGTTAACAGAAATGCTGCTGTCTTCTCTGGGCCGAAGCTCTTTTAAAATGGACTAAGACAAAGTGTCATAATTTGGCTATGCAGCAGGCAGGAAAGGACCCTAGCACAGACTCAGAGAGCTGAAAGTAAACTAAAAAAATAAACCACAGCTTTATTTATATGAATAAAACACACAGGGAAGCACGTGGAGAAACACACAACCATAAGGGAGATCGTCAAAGGAGCTTGCAAAGAAAAGCGTCTGGACTTCTTTAAGTTGCTTGAAGATGTTTCACCTCTCATCCGAGAAGCTTCTTCAGTTCTAAGGTCAAATGGTGGATAGTCCCAGATATAAACCTAGTGGGAGTAACCCCCCACAGAGGGACAAAAGGACCCCCTGATGATCCTTTAATCGCCTGAGCCAAGGTGTGAAACTGGGCGTGGGTCCCAATCAGCCAGAGTTTCGGGTGAGTTCATTGTGAAACCTGGCCCCACCTTATCATGCGAATTGCTTGAAGAGGTGAAACGTCTTCAAGCAACTTAAAGAAGTCCAGACGCTTTTCTTTGCAAGCTCCTTTGACTACGATGACCTGGATGACTGAGAACCTTCACAGACACATAAGGGAGATCACGACACAGAACTGTGGGAGACGCTGACATAAATACACAGGAGGATAACGAGGGAAGTGGGAACACATGGGGAACACAGCTGACACAAATTAACATGACACCACAGTGGAAGCACATCTAGACACACCAAACACAGAACCACGAGACCGTCACAGTAAAACAGGAAACGGAGGAACACAAGACTGACACGTGAGTTTGACAGAGGAGTGGAGGAAAGGCAGACAAGAGGGAGCAAGGGAACAGGAAACAGGAAAGAGGAGACATGAAGGGTAACATACAATGGAACACAAGAAGGAAAACATGCACAGAAGAGGCACAAGGCACAAACACATACACACAGCAGGGGCCACAGAGGGCAAAGACACGAGAGGAGCCAAAATGCACAAAAGCTAATATAGAATAAAGTTGGGATTACCTATATGAACCTTAAATAATAAACCATAAAATGTTATAAAAACATAAGAAACTCAAAATACTGGGTCGAAAGGACCAATAACCATGACACAAAGAGGGAAACTGTTATGTGGTCAGATGAATCAGAAGTGATTTAAAAAAATTTAAAAAAAAACATGGACACCATATTCCCCAGACTAAAGAGGAAAGGGAGCGCATGTTAACAGCACTCAGTTAAATAAATGTGCATTTCTGACAGGATGAGGAGGGTTTAATGCCCTTAGAATTCGCACCTTGCACATCTGGAAAGGCACCATCAACGCTGAAAGGTATTTACAAGTTTTAGAACAACATATGCTCCCATCCAAATGTCTTTTTAAGGGAAGGCCTTCCATGACCCAGTGTTATTTGTATTCCTTGATTATTGTTATTCATGGTTTTGAGTTATCTTGATGGTTTTCTGTTTAAATGTTAAGTTTGTTGTGTTTTTTAGCTTTTAGTTTATGACCTCCCTGTGTTCCATGATTCATGTCTTGTCTCCATGTTCCCTGTTCCCTCGGTCATGTCTCCCCGGTCAGTCATGTCTCCCCGGTCAGTCATGTCTCTCTGTTTCAGTGTCTCTGTGTTAAACTTCCTGTTTTACTTTGTCGGTTCCTTGTTTCATGTCAGTGTATCTAGTTTCGTTTCCCATGTCTCATGTCTAATTAGTCTCAGCTGTGTTTCCCTCCTGTTTCCCATTCCCTCGTTGCGCCCTTGTGCATTTAAGCCATGCATTTTCCTTGTTTTTTTCTGTGTTGCACCCTCACTATGCTGTGTGTTTCTTCCCTCAATGTGCCAAGTCGACTCCTAGTTTTGAGTTCCTGGTTTATTTTCTAGTGGTTTAGTTTGAGTTTCTTGTTTCTAGTTTCTTCTTTTGCTTTGTATTTGGATGTGAGGTTTTACAGCATTAAAGCTGCTGTTTTGAGTTTACTCAAAGTGTAGGACTAATAAACTCTTTTGAATTTATGAGTCTTACATCTGGCTCTCGTAGGTGTGCAGAATTTCCATAGAACTCCACCTGCTGCTCCGCGAGGATCCAAACCTCGTCCACTTCAGTTGGGAATCCTCCTGCGCACTGGAGGCACAGCTCAATTCTGTCCCCCGGACAAAGCGGTGCTTACGCCGCCGACACTCTTAATTCACTGAGCAACTGCCAGTGGTTAATGAAAATGACTATTTTTCTTTTGCTCTTCTCGACATTCAAAACTGTTCATCGTGGTGGAAAAGGTCTAAAACCTATTTTCGCTGCATCCGAGCCTGCTCCCCTGCCTCACTCTGTTCCTGTTCCTGGTCCAGCCTTCCCCTACACCGGAGTCAGTTTCCCAGGTGAGGGGGGCTAGGCCCTGGTTGGTCCCTGCTCTATTTTCCAGGCCAGCTGAGGCTCTGCTAGTCCCTGCACTTGTACCAGCTTCTCAGGTGGGGACGGCAGCTGCCCAGCTGTTGCCACTGTCTGTTCCAGTCCCCAGGGTGAGGGCGGCCAAGAACCAGTTCACTGCTGCACCTGTACCTATTCCTTGGGTGGGAGTGACCGGTGTCCTTTCACCCGGCACCTGTGCCGGTCCCTGAGGTGAGGCCTGCCAGGACACAGTCAACCTCCGAACCCATACCTACTCCTCGGGTGGAATGGCTAGCACCCGGCAAGGGCCTTCACCTGTTAATGGCTCCGCTGGAGGCTCAGGTGAGCTTGTCCAGACGTTTCTCTCATTTTCTGGGAGCTCAGGAGAACTAGCTCAACCACCACTAAACCACTGCTTCTATCTCTAGCTCAGTCACTAGCTCAGGAATCTGCTCAGCCACCTGGTCAGTCATCAACTCAGCCACCTGCTAAGCTGTTCAACCAGAGGTCTCTGCACCTGCTGGCTCTGCGTCTGTTCCCGGTGGGGGCTCAGGTGAGAGCCGCATCTGCTGTCTGTTCCCATTGGGGGCTCGGTTCCCATCTCTGCTGGTGACTCTTGAGAATGTGTCAAACCATCAACTCCATCAACCACTCAACCACCAATCAACTGCCTGTGGTAGCCACTCCACCGTCAGTTGGCCTCCGGATCTTCTTTGCCTGCGCTGCCACCGTTTTCCACGCTGTCGGCCTCCAGATTTGATTCACCCACAACACTGCCACCTTCCTTGTTATTTGGACTCTTGTGCCTAGTTTTGTGCCTTGGACTCTGTTTTTCTTCTTGCTTGTTTTACTTCGATGGTCCCTTGTTTCATGTCCTTGTATCTATTTTTGCTTCCCCTTGTCTTATCATATCTTATCATATCTAATTAGTCCCAGCTATGTTTAAGTGTTTTAGTATGTTACTTGTTTCTAGTTTCTTCCTTTGCTTTGTATTTGGATGTGAAGTTTTCCAGCATTAAAGCCGCTATTTTGAATTTACTCCTCTGTTTATGAGTTCTGCATTTGGGTCATCATGCCTGCCACACAGCAAACCATGAGAAATCCTGTTCACAAGTTATAGAAATAATAATAAGTGTGCCTTTTGGCATAGGCACACTTAATGAGTTCTGCTACCATAGTGTCCATCTAAGCCTTTTCCTGTTGATTGTCTTCTTCACTGTCGCATATTTGTTGTTTCCTTTTAAATGATATCCTCTACGTATGGCATGAAATAACTCTGAAAGCTTACCTGAGTTTCTCTACAACAATTGTGTTAACGTCGGGGCCGATAAAGAGCTCCTTAAGGTCAATATTATTCCTTGAGTGAAACGTGACTTTGTAGCCCCTGACTTCCCCAGGTGCTGGATCCCAGGACACTCTGAAACTGGTCCTGGTGGGCTCTGAGGTCAGAAGGTTCCAAGGACTCTTGTACAGTGACACTGAAATAGAAGAAATCAGCAGGAAATTCAGGACAAACTAACCTAGAACTAAACTCGACACAACTCCAACTCTTGGCAAAGGTTTTTAAGGATCAGCCACGCCACATTCAAGCCAGTTTCTCATTAGTCCATAATACAATTCCTTGAACCCAGTGTCGACCGTTAGGAAGCCCAGTGTCATGCTGTGTGTTAGTAATGCTAGCGTGTGATTGAGCACGTGTTTATCTGTGATTTTAGTGTTCTCGTGAGGAGGCGCTGCAGCACCTGTGGTGTGAAAAATACTCCTCTTAACAAGTAGTTTAAACTTGAAGTCAGTCCATGAAATTTTTGGTGGGAAAACGGGAAAAAAATCTGCAACTTGGAACAAAGAAACATATTTTTTTCCAAGGCACCGTGACTTGGTGTGATGTTTCTCTGAGAAAGTGTGAATAAATCATCAAATATACCAGGTTTATTCACTGCCTGGAAAATACAGACAATTCTTCAATCTTAAGTACTGAGGATTAAACCCTGGAGGCTACACATCCTCACACATCGTTAGTGTGGGCTTCAGATTTACTTTTCCTCATCATGTAAGATCTCCTTTAAAATTAGAAGCTTACAAAACTTGACTTTGAATGAGTGACTATGTGCCCATTGCATCCAGCATCTACTGAGAACATCTGATCTCAGTAGACTTGAACTTTACTAACTATGGATAAGCAGGGCTTCTACATTTTTAATAAGGGACCACCCAACAGCAGATTTTTTTAATCGTTCAGTTCCAGCAGCGATCATATTTTTAGACTGAGCACAGGTATAAACATCTTGGCTAAGATGGACATGTTTCTGCAGTGTGCTGTCTCTCAGAGGGTTGAATTATGGACCAACGTACGTGTCGTTCCTACTCCTTGCCTTGCTTTTCCTTCGCTGCGCTTGTAGATGGGCAGAACGGTGATATTGTATGTGGTCGCAGGCTTCAGATTCTTCATGATGGTACAAGTGGCCTTTGCAGGGATTTTCTGGACCACTTCTTTGCCTCCGTTGTGGGGAACGTACTTCAGCCGGTAGTTGAGCAGCTTGCCCAGCGCCGGCGTCCACGTGACTCTCATGGTTTTCTCTGTCTCGTCTGACACTCTCAGTCTTTTCCCATCTGCAGAGCCTGAAAACATAGAATGCACTTTTAATACTGCAACAACATAATTCAGTATCGTTAAAGAGAAACTAGTTGTACCAGTTCCCCTTTAAATTGTTCCTGGGGAAACCTAAACAAAGTTTATTTGACTTATCCAGGGTTTGTTTTAAAGTAGAAACCTGCAGGGCTGAAAAAATGCTCAAATCTGCAGTTCCCCCGATGCCCACTTGGGGCTGGCTCCAAAAACGAGTCACATCACAAATAATGTGGCTTATTGTGGCATTAACTGAACTAGCAGCCCTTCTACTAAGTCTACTCTAGTTCATAACAACTCAGATGGTGATGCAATAGTGTTAAAATCGAGGTTTCAAAAAGGATCCCATAAATTAGTGGGTAGCAAGTATTCAGTGTTCAAAAGCCAACCACTGACATCTATGAGCCAACAATATTAATGAATCACTACAATAGTGCTTTGAAAAAAGGAGGATACAAAATTTGGATCCTTCTTTAAACTTGTTCTGATAAAATCTGTACAGGTGGTGAACACAACAGAAAAACCTTTTATTGCCATTGTGCATGTACAATAAAACTTTGGGATAAGTCGATAACAACTGTTTGGATAAGTCACCCCTTTGGATTTTGTTAAGGCTTTAAGTTAAGGATGTGGCCATTATGGCTAACGGGATGGTGCAGACACAGCGGTCGTAGTTACTAGCTGTCTCCACTTGGCTTCACCTATGCTAATTCAAATCACTAAAGTAGACCTCTAGAACAGCTTGTGCTGTTTGGTGCTTCTTGGAGCATTTTAATGAAATTATCTGCCGTGCAGCTAATTACAATAACAGACTGTCCCAGAAGTCTGTACTTCAGTTTTGGTGAGTTTGTTGTTCATAGCAAAACTTAGTTTATGTTTAGGTCCATGGATGCACCTCTATAACATTAAATAATTAAGAAGATCTGATTACTCACTGATTATTTACTCAGTGTTCTGAGCATGTACATTTTATGGTTGCATCTTATTTGCATTAGCTGATAACTTGTCTCTCTTATCCAAATGTGGTCACTTCTAACTCCCATGACAAGCATAGAGGTAAAGTTGAAGGGTCCACAAACCAATGACTGACATCTCTGAGACAGCAATATTAATAAATCACTATTTGATTTAAGAAAATGTAAAATGTCTCAGAAGTCTTGTCCAGATCAGATGCAGACTAGATTCTCTGAGCAGCCTTTTGAAATACTGGCCCATCTTTAAGATTGTTCTGACAATGCTGAAATGGCTCCTTCCCTACCTGAGCCCTTAACACTGTTACACAGGTTGACAGAGAGTTTGTCAATGATGTCCACCAGGAACTGGAAGTCGTAGACGTTGTACATGTGAATGTCATCTGGGTCAGAGGCGATGGACCTCAGCTCATACTCATCAGCGTTTTTTACACCTATGAGAAAAATAAACCATGAGTTTGATGAAGGAAGATGACTAAAGTGGCTGCTGGTTGATCATTTTCAGCCCATTCTAGTAAAGTCAGGTACTTTTCCTGATTGCTGCATGCAGGTAGCAATCATCCAAAAGTTGAAATGTGTTTTCATTTCCTTTTCTTCAAACCAGTGAAGCTCACTCACCGATAGCATAGAGCTCGATGCCACTGTCTCTCAGGTTCTGTGAAGCTAAGATGACTTCATCCTGGGACTTTCCATCAGTGATCAGGATGCCGATTTTGTGGGAGTCTGGACGCAACCCCACTTTGGGTTTGAAGCTGTTCTTGAGGATATAGTTTAGAGCCATTCCTGTACCACAGTGAGGAAGAAGTTTCAGTTATGTGTGCAGATAACAAAGCACTGCATGCTGCTTTTCTGTTGTTTAGCCCTTCTGAAACAAGCCTGACCCATCTGAGGGAAACAACAAGGAATGCTTCTCTGACACTTTGCTCCACAAATGAGAGGAATAAATATGGCCCTTGTCAATGTATTTTTACCTAAACTGAAAGCTTTAAATCTCCAAAAGTTGATTCTGTTCATCTGGACGTAGCGTTTTTGTGGGAGAAACGTTTTGTCACTCATCCAAGTGACTTCTTCAGTCTCAACTGACTGTTTCCCCAATCTTATAAACAGTACATTTGCATAATGACTGAAACCAGCCCACTGAAGGAACAATGGGCTGGGAGGTCAGTTCCTTAATCTTAATTATGCAAATTCTCATGACCATTGATCAACAACCACTGACCAAAACCCACTGATCAATGGCCATGAGTACCATTCACAGAGAGTTGGGGAATGGCTGCAATCACAGCATTGTAAGATGGCGAAAGATGTACCCTTAGGCCCCCTCCTCGATTCAGAGATGGTCTTTCCCTTTTCACGTAAATGGCCTCCTTGACTCCGCGCTCAAACCAGCGTTCCTCCCTGTCCAGGATGTGTACATCCTCATCATTGAAAGAGTGTCCACTGGCCTGTAGGTGTAAATAGACTGCAGAGTCCTGGCCTGACGAGGTAGCTCTTCTGTGTTGTGCCATCCGCTTCGCCAGAGGTTGTTTGGTTTCCCCGATGTATAAATCCTGGCAATCCTCCTGGCACTTAACAGCGTACACTATGTTACTCTGTTTGTGTCGGGGGACCCGATCCTTGGGGTGGACCAATTTTTGGCGCAGCGTGTTTTGGGGTTTAAAAGCCACAGAGACCCGGTGTTTAGAAAAAATGCGTCTCAACTGCTCCGATACTCCTGACACATATGGGATCACTACAGGTTTTCGCTTGGGCAGCGGTTGTCCTTCTCTCCTGGATCGGCTGGAGCTTTCTTTAGGTGCCTTTCCCAGCTTTGACAAAAGTCCAGCTGGGATAACCACATTTACTCAGGGCCTTCTTGATGTGCTGTTCTTCTGCTCCCTGGCCGCTGTGTCTGTGGGGATGGTGTTCGCTCTGTGTTGTAGCGTCCTGATGACACCCAGTTTGTGCTCCAGTGGATGATGAGAGTCAAACCTTAGATACTGATCCGTATGTGTAGGTTTACGGTACACGTCAGCTTTTAGATGTCCCCCATTACTGATGGAAAGCTTTAAAGGAGACTAAATCTTCAGCCTTCAGGGATTTATCATATCCATCATTTTAGAGGCCTCCTGCTATCCCAGCCAAGCACTTTACCCTTAGGCTGCAGGCTTGTGGTTCCTGGAGTTTCTAAAAGGAGATCCTTCAGCTATCAGACCCCTCTCCTATGGAACCAGCTGCTCATTTGTGTTTAGGATACGGAAACTGTCTACTTTAGGATTAGGCTTCAAACATTTCTTTTTCAGAAACCTTACTGTTAGATCAGGTGATACTGAATGTGTCTTTAACTTTTCCTTGATTAATTTGTGTTTGAATGGAAGCTATCGATTCCTATGGAAGCGCATCATCTTCAATATATCAACTCCAGCCCTCCTGCCAAATTTTAAGCTCAGTTTCTGCTCCCAGTTCTTCTTGTTAAAAGGGAATCTTTCTTTCCCACAGCGTCCAACTCTCTGTAACATACTTCAACCTCACTGTATAAAGTGCCTTGAAACTATACTTGTATAAATTGTGATATAACAATGAATCAAAGTTGGCTCCCAAGCTGGCCCCTAGATCAGTCTGAACCCTGTGAGTGCTGGTAGTGCTGGTAAAATAAATAAATAAATAAATAAATAAATAAATAAATAAATAAATAAATAATAATAGTTTTTAATTAAAAATTACCTGTCAGCGTGTTTCCTCCTCTATATGGCAGGGCGGCAACAGCACGCAGCAGGGATTCTTTGGTGGGGTGGGCGTTAAGGTTCCATTCAGTCTTTGGTTTATTGCTGTACTGAGTCAGACCTGCAGAAACAATGTAGAAAAACACCAAAGATACAGCAACTCTGACTTTTCCAAAAATATACCAAGATATGACATCTTAAATAATTAAGTCAACTTCAAAAAATGCAACCAATTTCTTTTATCTAGTGTGTAATTTTACTTCTTTAAATTGATTTGTTCTCAAAAATAACAGCAGCATGCAGCACCCTGTGACTCAAAGACTGATCAGAACATCAATTCAGTAGATTTCAGACACCAGTGTTTAAATTTAGCCTGATGTTGTCACACATCTAAAACAGTTATTATATTATTGTTGTTTAATGTATGAATTTCTCACTTTTGTTCTCACAGTACAGAATCCAGCTTATTACTTTACGTTTTTTAAAGTACTGATTAGTACTCAGTATCAGCAGATACCTTGAGCCAAAGTATTGTTATCATTCCATCATGACATCTCTAATATCAGCTGCTTGCTCGATTTTCTGTTTTTAAACGTGTCAGATAAATAAACTGACATGACTTGTTCTTTATAAACTGATCAGAAAAAAATTAAAGGGAGAAGGAGCTGCAACAGCTTCTTTCTTTTTTTTTCAAACGATGAACTGAGGGGCAGAACTAAGACCCGATGTATGATAATACGATACAGTATACGATAGCAGCAGTGAAAGCTTTACCAATCTGGACACTGTCTGGGCCGATGTTAAACACGCTGACCATGTGAGCGATGAAGTTGCGGATGGTTTGGAAATTGATTTGGCCAATGCTCCAGGAGCCATCAAGCAGCAGCACGATGTCGGCCTTCACTGTAGTGTTACACTGAGTGTCTGCACAGAAACAGTGGTGTGTGTGTGTGTGTGACATCTGGTACACAACAGATACTCACGACAAATGTCTGTTAAGTCTTATTGTGTGAGGGAAAATTGAGAAAGACAGACAGGAACTACATCAGGAGGAGAGAGGAGTACATCACAAAAACTCAGAAAGCAGATTTACATTACAAAACACAAATAATCCACACACCTAACACACTGTGTAACCTATGCCCCTGTTTAAAATTTAAATTTCACATGTCTCAGTGTAGGTTGTAATGCATAATGACAAACCAGATGTCTCACAGTGGAAAAAACAAAAATCCTCACAAATATTCCAAATCCACACTGAATGACTGTTGATCAGTCCTAAACTGTCATGATCTGCGGAGGCAGACCGTGTGGAAATGTGTGTGGTGGACCCAGGTGCGAACACAAGCGAAGATACAGGAGTGGATTAAACAAAAGCGAGCCTTTTATTATGGCTGATGAAAAGGAACAAACCAGAGTGAGGGCAGCATAAGAGTATAACTCAACAGAAACCTAAACTGGACATAAACTATGGAAAGGCTATGGCTGGAGATACGGAACACAGGGGGTGGGAACACAGACGACGCGACACAGACTACATGAAACACAGAGACTAAATACACAAGAGGGATGATCAGGGGAAGTGGCCACACATGGGAACACAGCTGACACAGATAAACATAACAAGACATGGCAGGAGTAAACAACACTGACGGGAGACTGTCAAAGTAAAACAGGAAGTACACAGAGGTGCAAACAGGAGGAGAGAGAGAGCACGGGCATAGTGGGCTGGGGAAACATGGAATGAAACACGAGGGGAGATGAGGGCTCACAGATACATAGAGGGGCACACAGGGGATAAGAGTCACAAGGGGAAGTCAAATAAGGAACAACATAACAGGACAACTCAGGAAACATGACCTAAATAAGGAACGAAATACAAAAATACAAGAAACTAAGAATACTGGGCCCACATGGCCCAGGACCATGACATAAACCCCCTCAGCTGTTTTTAAAGAGCAGCATTTTAGCATTATGTTTCTGCAGCATGTTAAAAATGCCTTACAGCAGCTCTGCCTGACCACATGGACCTGTCGAAAACACTGAATAATGGATCCAAGGATCCATTTTTGGATCCTGCTGTGGATCCAAGGATCTCAGAGTTGGGAAGGCAGTCACTTTTTGTCTTTTTCGAGTTACAACAGGAACTTCTGTCAAGGATTAACACATCCTTTGGCTCTGATGGGAAGCATTACATGAGAACCTTTCATAGGAAAAATTCTGACTGTAAATCTTAATCACAAGCACAAAGCCACATTTAACTATACATTCAAGTTTAAGCTGCATTACTGCTCTCAGTAAAATGGTAAATGGCCTGTATTTGTATAGCGCTTTTCTAGTCCCTAAGGACTTCAAAGCGCTTTACACAATCAGTCATCCACCCATTCACACACACATTCACACAGTAGGCTATATTTAATGGTTTAAATGTCTTTTAAAAATACAAAATAAAAAGCTCCTATCGTGAAAATAAAACTAGGTTCAAGTTTTGATGGAATTATTGGATCATCATACGCGTGAGATAAAATCTGAAGTTTAAGCAAAACACTTCACAGGCACACGTTTGCTTCAGTCATTATTTTAATTTAGACTAAACGTGCAGCTACACACAGCAGGCAGAGGACAGAAAGAGGAGAGGGGAGATGGAAGAAGTCAGATGTGTTGGATCAAAGAGGAGGAAGAGGAGGAGGAAGAGGGGAGGTGGAAGAGCGGTTTTACCTATCTCCTGGGCCTGAGAGGAGGACAGCAGCAGTGCCATGAGGGCAGCAACCACTGCCAGAGAGAGCCTGCTCTTCATCTTCAGCTCTGCTGGTCTCAGCAGTATGAAGAAAGCTGCGAGAGAAACCAAGGAGGCAGTCAGGCATCCTCTGGACTTCATGAGACTATTATTACTCCCTGAACATGAACCCTCAGATCTCATTAATGCACCTTCATCTTCATTTAAATCTACATGATGCTTAAAACAACCAGAAAACGCAGCTTTGAAGAGAGAAATATGTCACATGATTATTCCACGAGCAGCAATAAGATCACCTGATAAGCTTTATTGTATATAAAAGACTAAAATTCACCAAAATCTACAAAATATTTAAGAAAAGAATCTTTCTTCTGTCTCTGCGTTATTTTCTTTTTCTCTCCTTTCTGTGGCTCATATTATTTCCTCTCAGAGTAAAGTCATGCATTTAATATTTCTGCATGATGAGAAATATGCTCTATACTCCCAGCCGTTATTACGATCTTCTAGTCAGTTACTTCTGGCCCAGCCCAGGCTCTGTCTGAAGACTAGGGGTGATCGTACTTTTGTAAACCTCTGGAATAGTCTTCATGCTACCATTCATGCCTCTGACTCCATTCAGTCCTTTAAAGCACGCTTGAAAACTTACCTATTCAGCCTCGCTAATCCTCGTATCGCTACTCATTTCTCTGGATAATCATGCTTTCTCCCCATCTCTACTTACTAATGCTTTTTGCTTGTTTCCTCTGTTTTATCTATTTTACCTTGTTTTAACGGCTTACTGTTCAGTGTAAACGTGCTATATAAATGAAATTGTATTGTATTGTGTATTGTCAATATTCACTCCTATTAGGACACAGTCTTCCCACTGTCTTGCGTAATGGAGGATCAAGCCATGGCACTGTGCGCAATTACGCACATCAGAGATATAATCCGAATGAAAAACAACAACAACTAAAACAAAAAAAAGTAATATTGCAGAATTTAAAAAGCACACAGATTTTAAACGGGTGATAAATTAAGGCGTGTAAATCAATCCCCCTTAAATTGCACCCAAACAGCTGACCTTCAGATGAGATGGACACAAATGTCTTTTTCTTAAACAAGCGTAAAATTTAAAAAGTCTTCGCTGTAGACTCCGGCCAGAGAAAAGTGGGAGTGAGGTGGTCGGTCCTAGACTGCAGCCTTCTTCCAAGTGTGAAGAGTCTCCAAACAATCTGTTACTTAACGAGGAGGTCGGAGGGGCGGCTGCTCCCAGTTCTGCCTGCCCCACCGCGAGCTCTTACGACATTGTCCGTTTTTGTAGATGTTTGTCTACAGAGATGAGCTTTCAGCCAACGTTAACGTGTTTCCGTGCAGTTTCCAAAGTTCTAACCGCGCCTTACTGGACAATGCCGAGTGGTTGAGAAGTGGGCAGGAACAAAGTGATGGTGGAGTTCAGGACTGGGGAAAGAATTATTAAAAAATATCAAAAACGCAGAGGATAATTTTTAATGTCAGTTTCCCTTCAGGGCAGAATAAATACGAGTTTCACCACTTATTAAAAAGGTTGGGTTTAAACTGTTGTGCAGCTGCTTTTTATTTTAATATCTGGATGAGTGAAAAGTGATCTAATGAAGGCTGGACACTGGCCTATAGTTAGACGGCTGGGTCAATAAACAATGCTTTTTAAACAGTGGCTTAATTCCTGCCACCTTAAAAGCCATGGACAAGGCTCGTTAACGGAGATCGATTGATCACATTAAGATCAAAGAATTAATTTTCCGTTTAATTCAATTCGATTTTACTTATACAGGGCAAATCACAACAGTTGCCTAAAGGCACTTTATATTGTAAGGTCAAGACTCAATAATACAATAATGCAGTAATACAAAAGAAACAGAAAAAACCCGAACAATCAATTAACCCTTATGAAAAAGCGCTTTGGCAACAGTGGAAAGGAAAAACTCCTTTTTAACAGGAAGAAACCTCTGTCACAATGAGGGGAGGAAAACAGGAAAACTCATGCTGTGGAAGAGAGTCAAAGATTGATAATAACTAAAACTTTAAAACCCTAACTATATGATCTAAGGCTCTTGTGTTTCTTAGGAAACACAAGCGAGCCTATGTGGGAACGAAGTGCTCTAATAGGGTGATATGGTACTACAAGGTCATTAAGATAAGATGGGGCCTGATTATTTAAGACCTTGTATGTGAGGAGCAGGATTTTGAATTCAATTCTGGATTTAACAGGAAGCCAATGAAGGGAATAAAGGAGAAATCTGCTCTCTCTTTCTAGTCCCTGTCAGTACTCTTGCTGCAGCATTTGAATAGAATAGAATAGAATAGAATAGAATAGAATAGAATAGAATAGAATTCAACTTTATTGTCATTGCACATGCACAGGTACAGGGCAACGAAATGCAGTTTGCATCCATCCAGAAGTGCTTTAGTGATATAGATATATTACAATATATATTAGCAATAATATAGATATGTGAGTATATTACAGAAATGGGTCTATTATGGTATGTTATAATGTACACGGTATGAAGTATGTTGTGAATATTCTATAACTATAAGTATGTACAGGCTGTAGTGAGTACAAGCTATGAACAGGATATAAATATGAAAAACTATACAGAATATGAAATAAATAACTTTACAGAATCTGAGATATACAGCTATACAGAAATGGGAACTATGCAAGTTGTAAACAGTTGTAGGATTAAAGATTATCGAATGTACAGAATGATTATTTACACAGAGCTATACAGTAGTTTAGATCAACTGAAGACTTTTCAGGGAGTTTTTAGGACATCCTGATAATAATGAATTACAGTAGTCCAGCCTGGAAGTAATAAATGCATGAACTAGTTTTTCAGCGTCACTCTGAGACAGGATATTTCTAATTTTAGAGATGTTGCACAAATGGAAGAAAGCAGTCTTACATATTTGTTTAATATCTTAATTGGAGGACATATCCTGGTCAAAAATGACTCCAAGGTTCCTCGCAGTGTTACTGGAGGCCAAGGTAATGCCATCCAGAGTAAGAATCTGGTTAGATACCATATTTCTAAGATTTTCAGGGCCGAGTACAATAACCTCAGTTTTATCTGAACTTAGAAGCAGAAAAGTAGAGGTCATCCAGGTCTTTATGTCTTTAAGACATTCATGCAATTTAACTAATTGGTGTGTGTTATCTAGCTTCGTGGACAGATAGAGCTGGGTGTCATCTGCATAACAGTGAAAATGTTTGCTATGCCTTCTGATGATACTAAGGTCCTAGCACTGAACCCTGTGGAACTCCATCATTAACCTCAGTGTGTGAAGAGGACTCTCCATTTACATGAACAAATTGGAGTCTATTACATATATAATTTAAACCACTGCAGCGCAGTACCTGTAATACCTACAGCATGCTCTAATTGCTCAGGATATTATAGTTGACAGCATCGAACGCTGCACTGAAGTCTAGCAGGACAAGCACAGAGATGAGTCCAGTGTCAGAGGCCATAAGAAGATCATTTGTAACCTTCACTAAAGCTGTTTCTGTGCTGTGATGGGCTCTGAAACCTGACTGAAACTCTTCAAATGAGACATACATTAGTATTTCCACCATGTTACTTGTTGAACTTCTACAAGTAACTGCGGTTTATGGGAAAGCTTCAGCCCTTGTTACCCACCAAACTATTCCCATTTACTTGTCCCTGTCTGGTAATCATGAATTCTTTGGGTTTGAATATCCTTGTGCTGCTCTGACTCTTGGACATTCATGGCTGTAGGTTTACATCAAGGTCTGGCAGAGGTGTTTAGAAAAGAATAAAATCTTTCACCTCACTGACTGTATGACTGCTACTGATTGTTTTTATGTGGTGTACCCCTTCCCTTCAACCGTTTGTGCAACCATCCTTACTGGAACAAGAGGCTATGAAGAAATCTAGCTTGGATTTTCTGGTTATAGGTAAAGTAAGTAAGTAAAATTTATTTATTAAGCGCTTTTCACAGACAGTCACAAAGCGCTGTACACAAATATTAAAATAAACAATACAACCAACAGACTCTGAGTCTATGAGCGGAGATGAAGAGCAGCAGTGTATTTTATAAGAAGCTTGGATAAATAATCTGGAGCCTAGTCATTATTTAGTGCTCTGTATGTTAAAACAAGAATTTTAAAGCGAATTCTAAACTCTATTGGGAGCCAATGTAAAGAATATAAGATGGGAGTAATGTGAACACGCTTGGTAGAACGAGTTAGTAGCCTGGCTGCTGCCTTTAGTATCGCCTGGAGGCGAGAGAGAGATGATTTATCCAAGCTAGTAAACAGGGAATTACAGTAATCTAAGCGTGATGACACAAATGCATGAATCAGTTTTTCCAGTTCAACTGAAGAGACCATATGTCGCAGTTTAGAGATGTTTCTTAAATGATAGAAACAGGAACGAGACAAAGATTTTACATGAGAGTCAAGGCCCAGAGTAGAGTCAAATATTACTCCAAGATTTCGAATATTTGACTTGACAGATGGACAGAAAGAGGTAAGAACCTGACTAATGTAGCTCAGGAGGAGCTATGATCATGGTCTCGGTCTTGTTGGTATTTAGAACGAGGTAGTTGCTTGAATATTAAAATATAAAAAGAAAATAATAATGGACCTAAAACTGAATCCTGTGGGACCCCACAGGTCAGGGCAGCAATGTCAGAGGTGAACCTGTCAGTCCTAACAGAAAAGGTCCTGTCTGATAAATAGGAAGAAAACCAGTCTAGGGCAGAGCCAGATACACCAGCCAAAACCTTGAGCCTGTTAAGTAGGACTTTGTGGTCGATGGTGTCCTGCCACAAGAGGGAGGTATATTCAAACAGTAGCTTCTGGATAACACTGTTTGTGGCAGTCAAAAGAGACTAATTTTAATGTTCAAGCAAAATGATCACAGGATAATTCCCTGCATCAGATGCCATTGACAGATCATTATAGACTTTTAAGAGAGCGGTCTCTGTAGAGTGCTGCTTTTGAAGCCCAGACTGAAAAGGGTCAAGAATGTGTAATTTACATAATAGAGACCTGAACCGATTTTCAACAATTTTTATGGTATAATGGTGTTATACATCCATCTTCCTTTCCTCTTGCTGCTTTTTTCCTTGTGGCAAAAATGAATAATACACTATGGCATTTTATAGATTACTGTGGAAATATATCTAGCACAAGTAGTCAGTTCCAAATTTTGAAACTACAACATTTTTCCAAACTGGATCTCCATAAGGTCTATCACCCACTCCACATAAGCCAAGTGGATGATTTTCTTAACAATTTCATCTTTTTCACCAATTACATTCTTAATATTCCTGTAAGTTGGAGGGAATCAGTCAACAGGTGAGGTTAGTCTTGCAAAGGCTCTTGGAGAACAGGCTGTATACGAGTCATTTGTGAGTATGTTGACCAAACATGAAAAAGTACCTATTTCCCATTTCTATGGTGTGTCATAGAGCTGTTTACACTTAGACTTTTTTCCTATGAAAAAGATTCGTGTTGTGATTCCCATCAGACTCAGATGACACGCTGAACCTGGCAGAAGTTCCCGTACTTGCAGGAACCACACACAGGGACAGACTTCCTCGCTAACCTGCAGCTCTCACACAGCAGGCTTTGATTCAGTTTTTTCGACAGGTCCAGAGCTACTTTAAGGCATCTTTAACACGCTGCAGAAACATTGTTTTCACTCTCTGTGAAATTTACTATGTTGCTCTTTAACAGAGCCGGCCACTAAAATGTGGCCCTCATAATAGGCCTCATGTGGCCCTTTTCACAGTTTACCACCATCAGAAAACTAAAAAGGAAGAGGCACGAGAAGGTTCTTGGTCATGAGAGGCATTTCTTTATTGATCCTCAGGGCACCAGAGACTACAAGAAATAAATAGTGATCCAATGAACACCACAATAGAATCGCACCACGACATGAAACGCGGTCCGGCACAGACGGAGTATTTTCATCTTCTTACACAATATAGAACAGCTGGCCGGTTTTTGGAAAGTGGAAGTAAACAGCTGAAGCAGAGAAGTTATTTCTTCTGAGGGAAGGCTGCCTTCACCAGCTCAAACAGCACATATCCAACACCTGGAAGGAAGAGCAAAAAGACGAAGATTAAAATGGATTTCAAAGTGCTTCACTAAGGATAAGGTCCCATTATTTCCCGATGGATCTGTATCCTCATATGTACTACTTCATGTTCTGTGGTCTGTGGAAAGAACACCATTTGTTAATAGCAGTAAGAGTTACCATTACTTAATCCCAGCAAGATTGTTTCTATTTGTTTATCTGAAAGGTATCAAATATCAACTACCATGGTACTAAACTTGTGTACCACCTGAGGCTAAATTATCAGGCTGGATTTTTCAATTTAAATAAAAACTACAGCAGCTCATGAGGTTCATAAAGTAGCTCAGAGTTTAAAGCAGTTACAAAGACAGGTGTACTTACCCAGGACGGTGAGTGCCATCGTTGTCCTGTAGAGCAGGGCGTCGGCACTGCCTCCCTTTAAATGAACCGGCATACCGTTATCCTCCTGCAACAGAAGATGGAGGGGAACAATCAGGTTTGTAAGCCCTGCTTTAACCAGAACTCATCCAGACACCGACAAAGATTAAACACAGTGAAGAGCAGCAGCAGTTCGCAAGAAAGCCTGCTGATGAGTGAGCATCAAAAACAAAAGAACAACTTTTCAACATCTCTATATATAAATAAATAAAAATTTTCACAATAAGGGTGTTTTATTCTATAAAAGTGATATCTGCTTCTATTCCAACATGGCACAAAGACTTTTGTTTTACACATTTTGGGGATTTGACTGATCTTTTCCCCCCACTTCTAAATCACCATACCAAAGTGACCTAACAGGACCATAATGTTCATGTCCATCAGGAATCTGGGTAAGTTAGAAATCTGCATTTCATGTAAAAATGTTTTAGAAAAAGCAAACAATCTTTGTTATAAAATAACCAAAAATAACAGAAGAATACTTTTTCCAAGAAAATATGAATTTATCAAGAAAAAGGTGGAATAAAGCCCTCGCTTTTTTTAACTTTGTGTCAATAAATAAATCCACAAAGCAAAAATAATCTTTTTTTAAAAAGTTATGAAGCCAACAAAATTACCTCTGATGCTTAAAAAAAAATAAATAAAAAAATAAAAAAATCTGTTACTCAGATCAAAGCTAACATTTAAAAATAGATCCACTTTCTTTACAGTAACTCTTTAAGATGTGTTAAAAAATATTAAATATATCTACTATCCGAAAAGTGCTGCAATAAAAATATATTCTTAAGACACAGGAGGACGTTTTAGGATATTCATTTTTATCACTGGTCTGAGTTACAGATTGAAAACAGACCTTTTGAAAGTTCAGGTCTAATTTTGTCCTCTTGTATTAAAGTATGCAATTATGTTTGCAGCTGTTTAATCATACAACACATAAGTAGCAGACTGGAGCAGCCAACAGCAGTGCAGGAGAACAAACCAGCTGGAAACTAGTTTAGTCTGCAGCACACACTGGAAGCTGTTCAAATCATCTACATGTTCTTCATTTTCACACCGATGATCTGCTTCAGCACCAGCTCGTCCTTTTCCTGAAAGCTAAAAAACTACTGAAGCCCAGCTAGTGCTGCTGTTAGCGGCTGATTTACTGCAGGTTAAACATGCAGAATTAGTACTCCACTCAGTTCGGAGACTTATCTGTGGAGCTAAACTGACTGAGGTGTCCTCATTAGAAGAACCGCTGCTAAAGGAAAAAAAAAAAAAAGCACCATTGACCACAAAACTGCAAGAGGAACACATAAATAATAATCCATCTTTGTGTAGACAGACCGGACACCAAAATCTAACTCTTTCAAAATTAAACACAAAGAAAACCAAGAAACTCGGATGGACGCTCGTCTCCACACTGCTCAGAGACTACAAATACTGTTTTAATGTCTGATCTCTGCAATTTAAAAAAAAAATCGTCTACGTTTTTTGTAATTACACAAATCTTAAATGAACATTTTATTCACTGAGGATTTCTGAAGTTCAAACTGAAGTATTTACTGAGTTTAAGGACGCCATCCAAAAATGAAAGCAAAACCAACCAACTAAAAACAGTTCTGACATAAACATTTCCAGCAACTGCATTTTTCCCTGTTCTTCTCATGTACTTCTTCAGGGTTTCCTCCACTGTCTCATTTTATAGCTAAAGAATAAATAAGCTGATAGGAAAACTTTTAGTTTATAGAAAAACTGCTTGTTCTTTCTTTAAAACATTGCTGCAGGCTGACTGGATATGCAGAATTTACTCTACGATAATGTTTAAAGTTAAACTTACTCCTTATTTATGGCATTTATATCTATGATATTTATATAAAACAAATCTAATAAAAATTAGCAAACCACAAGTAATTAAAGGCATTGCCTTCATATTAAATACTTTTTAATTTAAGCCAAAATAAGACGTTTTAAGAACATCTTAAGGTTTTGTAAGCACTGAGAGGTGTCACGGGTTTTTAAAGTGGTATGTTTAGCTAATTTTTTTAAGGAAAAAAAAAGCTATAGAATCTCATCTTAAGAGGTCTCAACTTGATTCAATTGCAGCTCCAGATTTTGGCCAGCAGAGGTCACCATTCAAGCTTGCATTTAACACTGGATCAAGTCATTGCTATTTTTTTAAGAGCCCATTTAAACTTAAATTCAGACCATGACTGAAAACTTAGATATTAAAGGTTTTTGTTTTATTTATTTCTTATTCACTGTACTTCTGGCTCTAAAGCAAATCTGATATTGGTTAAAAAGAAACAGTTATACTGTTCAAATCATGTTTTCATGGTCTGAATGCAAAGTTAAAACAAAAATAAAAGATCCAGATAATTGACTGCAGCTCTGAGGGGACCTTAGCTTCCCCAAGCTTTAAAAATGATTGATCCCAGATCACGTTAGGCGCGCCTGAAGGTTGACGTTCAGATAACTGAGTACACACCAAAACAAGAGACCATGAGAACATATTTCCATTCAAATAAACACCTACTGAAGGGAGATAACAGAACTTTGGGTTTTTGTTGTTTTAAGTCAATGACACAAGTTAGGTGGGTGATTGTTGAGGGGCTTTGGTGTCCTCTGACTCCTTCCTTTGGTTGCTAAATTTAAAATGAACAGAGCAGATCTGTTGTCAGCAAGGTGAAGAAAATATGCTTAACTGTGATAAATATCTACAAATATGAACAGATGTGACACCATAGTGACCTTAGATAGCCACCAAAAAAAATTACATTAAAAACTTAAAGGACCTCCAACTTATATTATTCAGTGTGGATCCCTTGAACTGATCACACAGAATGAACACATTAACACTTCCATCATCATTGATTCAGCTTTCTACATAGAGACAGACACACACACACAGGAATTTTTTTTTTTTGACATATTAGAATGTTTTCAATGCTCCTGTATCCTTTAAAATTTCCCAGCGCACTCCCAATACCAAGATATGAGGTTTGGATCACAGGACAGAGCCTCAGTTCAAATAATAATTAATATTATAGGTATACAGGAAGTAGGAAACGGTCGTATTCTGAATTTAAGGCCGACAACAGAAACACAAAGGAGGCCTTCGATGATGACAGGGTTTTATGGAACAGTTGGAAGTGCAGCGGTCTGTCTGTGTGACCTTTACCTGGAACACCTTCTGTTTCTGGGGGACTTTGTTCTCAACCTGCCGCCGGACGGAGCTGGAGATGCTCCGCCGCGCCACCTGCTGAAGCGCCTGGAAAACAGCAGCGCAAGGACACGGAGAAACACTCATTTAATGAAAATATAAGAACCCAGTCTTGAATACACAGAAAACAAACATCGAGAGGCCGGACACCACCGCTAAATACAACTCCTCTGCAAAGCTAATGCTAACTCTTCCCGGTGTTGACCCCTGCTAACCGTTCTAAGCTAAATATAGCCGACTGTTTTTACCCCGGTGGCTCATCCATCGCATTTATCCAGCTCACTAGTTAAAAAAAAACAACACCCAAGAGAAACTTCTAAATAGAAAATAAACTTACATAAAATTGTCTGTACATGCTCATCGTCCGTCTACAGTTCGCTGTCTGTCACAAGGGCACAGGAAACCTTTACTTCCGTTTCCACTGAAATCTTCTTCGCTATCATTAACTGTGCTCATGCTGCGCGCTGCTGCCCCCTACATGAGCGTCAGGTACCCACAGTCAAGCATGAGAGCAGATTTAATCAAACGAAATTATAGAATTTAGAATGAACTGGTTCATATATTAATAAATATATTATCATATCATATATCATATAACTTCATATTTGCTTTCTGTTAAAGAACCTCTTCTGGGCCCTCAACACCAGCTCCATAACTAAGAAAGCCCAACAGCATCTCTAGTTCCTGTAGAAGCTGAGAAAAGCCCATCTCCCATCATCCATTCTCACCACCTCCTACACTGGGACTAAAGAGAGCATCCTAAGCAGCTACATTACTGTCTGGTACACCATCACTGCACCATATCAGATTGCAATACCCTACAAAGGATAGTGAGAACAGCTGAGAAGATCATCTGAGCCTCTCTTCTCTCCATCACAGACACCTATCGCACCCGCTGCATCTGCAAAGCCACTGGCATTGTGGAGGACCCCATGCAGCCCTCACACACATACTTCTGTCAAGAGGTACCAGAGCATTGAGCCCCTCACTGCCTCACTGTCTTCCAATGTTTAAAGACGCCGCTGCTGCTGAACAAGCTGAAGCCAGTTTGAAGATGATCCATTCAAAATTTGTTGGTAATATAATAAAAATATATTTTTACTAATTTTTTTAACATTTCGTTTGATCTAGACCAGATTTTCACCAAACTGGAAGCAGCTTGAGCCATTATCAGTGTTTACCATCACACAAAATCTGAAAATGAGATCTTGAAAACTGTGGATGCTAAGATACTGACTACACACTCCCTCCCTTTTGGATTGGAGAATAAAATACAGTAAAAGTGTTTTATGACATAAAACTTATGAGAAAAATAAAACTATTTCCACACTTATCATTTCCGGCTGACAAATTAAAACGACTCATCTTTTTTTTTTTAAATCACAAATTTATTCTTTTAAAGCAAAAACAACAAAACACAGGTGAAGTATCAAAAACACAAAAGTCAAATCCAACCAGACACAAATGCAGGTAATAAATTCATTTCTATGTTAAAAAATAAAAAGCATAATATATCTCGGCACATCTGAACATGCAGCATCTATTTAATGAGCAGGTGGAAGAAGCTGCAGCTCCTCGTAGCTTAAAAATGGCTGTAAAACGACATAAATTCACTCGTAGCACAGAAAACATTTAATCACATGTAGTGCTGAGTCATGCTGCGCTGTTGTTACTGCATGTAAACCACAGTGGATGAAACTACGCATCAGTGCACATTTCTCTGGATACTCACTCAAATTTAAACCTGTTTCAGACTCTGCAACCCTGAGGTCTCACGTGCAAATACTGGCTTTACTCTAGCAAGCAAACATCTCATAAAATTGTTCATGTAAATACAAAAAATAAACACTCTTTTTTTTAGCTGCAGTACTCTGTGTGTTCCCTTGAAATTGCTACAACACAGTTAAAGCGCAGTTAAAGATTTAGGACAACGACAAAAAGGAGGCACAAAGACAAGCCACCCATTCAACGCCGTACCAGAACCAACGAGGGGTAGAAAGAGACCGCGAGAGGGTCTCTTTTTTTAGTTTTTTCCTTATATTAATTCTGTCGTATTTGCACATTTTGTTTCCCATGAACTTGCCAAATTTCTTTTTGACAGTCTCATACGTTTTTACTATTAATTTTGCCACTTTTTCTGGTAAATTTACAACTTTAGCCACATTTTCTGCCTTCGGTGGGCCTAACACACCATCATACACCCGAGCAGCGCGGTGATAACAACATCTCAGCAGCATGCAGCTCTCACACTTATACTCCCGCTCACTTACACTTCACCATCAGAGATCCTAAAGTGACGTAAAAAACTTTCCAGACTCCTCCCTGTTAATTTTTTATTATTATTATTTTTTTAATATTTGAAGAGTCTGGCTGGGCTTTAGGTCGTTCTGCGTGCTGACTTGAATCTCTGACACAATCGTTTTTGTTAGACTTGTATAGTTAGGAGAGGAATGAGCACATTTTCAACTGATTTCTTTAAGATTGGCATTTTAGTGTGACTTTAGAACATGAACTCTGCACTACAGCTGAAGATGAATCTACCATCGTCACCCGTTTCCTCAGATTCATCATCGCATCATATTTATGGCGGTGGAGGCGAGCTGGAGCGCAGCCGGCACCTCAGTTTGAGATGTTAGCGCTGTTGTTGCGGTTCCCGTATTTGTGGTGGATGACCAGCAGCACGACGCCCAGGAAGAAGCAGACGGAGCCCACGGTGATGTAGGCGATGCCCAAGAATGGGTTCTTGCCTCCCATCCAGGAGATGGTGCTCAGGATCATCCGCTTCCTGCCCTCAAAGCTGCGAACAGGGTAATCTGGTTTTATCAGGTTAAAGGTACGACAACCACTTATTTTTCTTTTAAACCTTCATTTAAATTTTATAAGAATCTGTTTCTGTTTTTTTCATGCAGTTTTGCTGTCACGACTTTCACGTTAAGGATACTGTAGTCCACCACTAAGGTGTAGTTTCCTCGGGGGAGGGTGGGGGCCATTGTGTTCTTCTTTTGGATGATGCGGTAGAGTTTGCGGAAGGTGGGCAGAGCGGCAGTTCTCATCCACACGATGAAGTCCTCATTGATGAAGCCGTTGTTCTCCGGATCAGTGTCCAGCTCGTACACGGGCCGGTGCCAGTTCACCGGCTTCACTGTTCCTGAAGTGGAAGTGAAAAAAAAACAAAAATAAAAACGGAATAGACGTTGATGATTATCTTAAAAACGGTCAGAGTTTCTGATATTGTAGTATTACCAGTATTTACTAGTAATATTAGTAATAGAGGATTGCTATTAAACAATCAAATATATTAAATAATAAAAATCTATCTAATCTAACCACACAATAAAATATAAAAAGTGTGTTGTTAAATTATAAAAATACAAATATTAAAAACTAATTAATACGATCTAAAAAAAAAAAAAAAATGTTACTTAATAAAAAAAATAAAAATGTAAAAAATAAAGGTAAAATGCAGAATTTATTTCTGCCAGTCATCAATATTTACTTCTAATCTCATTATGGTGCATGTTACTGCATATTCATTTATTTATTGAGCCACTTTTAGGTTTATGCTTTATTTCAGCTGTTTTATTTCCTGTGTTTATAACACAGAAACAGTGCAGCTCTGTGCACAGGAGAACAAATCCTTTTTTAAGACTTGTCTGCAATAAGAAAAACAGACAGCCTCTCCCTCAGAGAGAGAGAGTGCAGCAGACGTCGCTGACTGGTGATACCTTGAAAAACAGCCGTGAGGTTTGAGTTGGTGCCTACAGGGTTCCTGAACTTCACATGTTTGTCCGTCCACCAGGCAATTCCTGTGGACGTCAGCGGGATCGGGACACTTGTGCCGTTGGGGTCATTGTAAAATAGCGTCAAAGTGTCTGCAAAGAAAGCAAAGACGGCTGATAAGAGAAACGTGAGTCCTTCAAAGACACGTTCACACAAACTGATCTGTGATGATATGTGACCATAATCATTTACTAACAGTCATTTTTTTTATGTTTTCTTCATTCTCTCTTTGTTGTTAATCTGCAAGAAAAAAGATGGTCTCACCGTTAAACATGCTGTTGGCGATGGCCCCACACGGAGCAATTGGCTTATTATCAATGGAAGCATATGGTTCACACTCCTTGCTGGGCTTCTGTAAAAGACGGAGAAGGAAAAGGTGACGAGAGAGAAGTGGCAGCACGTAGCGCAGCATTTAGAGCTGTAAGCAAGGATATAACCCAGCAACAACCAAGTAGAACTTCCTCTAATGTTCACCGAGGCTGGCTCCAAATGTGACACAGTCCCCACAGACTTCTATGTTAAAAAGTTCAGTTTTAAAGCAAAAATGAGCATGTTTACAGTCAAGGTTTAAAAAAAAAAAATGCATTTTGGCCTTTCTGGACACTTCATAAAAGTTTTACAGGATGACACCCCTGTAAAATTGGGGGCGTAGCTGCTTTGACTGATAGATGTGCTCACACAGGCAGCTTGAACAATGTGTTTGTGCTGCTGTCTGAAGCGTGTTTAATATTATCATCTGACAAACGTTATGTCATCCTCTCCCGTTAAATGTGCTAATGGACCAATGAGGCCCAAGTCTGTGCTCCAGGTTTGGTTCTCCATACTTGTCTTCAAATGTTGAGATCACCACCATGTTTTGGTTTGTTTATTTATTTATTCACCTGTTGCTCTTCGTTTCTTTGACTCATGCCTGAAAATTAGCGTATATATCAAAACTAAATATGTTTTTGAAATCTAAGTTTTAACTGCATTTAAACCCATTTTCCCTTGTTGTTTTCTTGGTCTGTGACCTAAAACATTTTGTCCTTGATATGAGTTCACCTTCTTTTTCCTGCTTGCCATTGGAGAGGAAGCTCCTACCTTGAGGGAATCGATGTTTCCGTTCAGCTGGCTGTCATCTCTTGACTTCACGTAACGTCTGTGATTTTGGTAAAAGTTGGAGAGGCCGTAATACATGAAGACGTTGCTCTGTTTGATTGAGAGAAAGATGTAAATGGCCTGTATTTATATAGCGCTTTACTAGTCCCTAAGGACCCCAAAGCGCTTTACACATCCAGTCATCCACCCATTCACACACACATTCACACACTGGTGATGGCAAGCTACATTGTAGCCACAGCCACCCTGGGGCGCACTGACAGAGGCGAGGCTGCCGGACACTGGCGCCACCGGGCCCTCTGACCACCACCAGTAGGCAACGGGTGAAGTGCCTTGCCCAAGGACACAACAACCAAGACTGTCCAAGCCGGGGCTCGAACCGGCAACCTTCCGATTACAAGGCGAACTCCCAACTCTTGAGCCACGATCGCCCCATGTGTAAAGGTTAGCTTAATCAAACTGGCTGCCGCTGGGCTGTAGTCCTGGATGCATCTTACCTCGTAAGGCTGATCCAGCTGGAAGGGGATTGTGCAGGTGCAGGACTTCGTGTTGTTCCAGCTGAAGTTCTTTGCACAGTTGTAGCAGGGACTGGACGTGTCATCTCCGGTATAATCGATCTGTAAGCACGAAGAAAATAAATATGATAAATAAATAAAGTTAGCTCAATATATTTCATGATACTGACAGCTTTATTTATTTAAGATATGTGAATGAAGAGATATTCAAGATACAATTATATCATGAATATGAGCGTTTTGGAGAAAATGTCAGTATTAACAGAATCATTTAGCTCAATAAAATGTTTAACCCTGTTTTGGAAGAGCTTTACCAGATAATGATCAAATTGTGTTTGTGCCATTTGATAGGAGTTACACTATGTGGACAAATACAATATTAATGCAAAACTCGTGACACAGAAAAATCAGCTCAGTTTACCTCAAACTCCTTGATGTTGTTAGACGTCACGTACAGGCCGATGCCGATGGGGATGAAGATGAGCCCGATGATGAAGAAGGCCGGGAGGACAGTGCCCGCGGTGAGGATGGGCTGCCACGCGGGGAGCCTCTGCTGCTTAAAGGCGGTGTTTTCGGGCTTCTTGTTCCGCAGAGTCCCGCCACCGGGTCCAGACACGGTGATGTGGCCGTCCTCGTCTTTGGCGCTGTAACTGGACGCCATCATAACTTCGGATCTGTGATTTATCCAGCTGACCTTAGCAAGCTAACGGGGCTAGCTTCTCGACGACAGTTGTTTTTAAAAGGCGCCGGTCTTAAACGACGTCGTCATTAGCTTGTTGCTAATTTGAGTGTTATTTATGCTAATCAAAGTTCTGTTAGTTCATCTCTAAACCACGGAGAGGCTAGCTAAAGACGGCTAGCACTTCCTTTCCCGGAAGTGTGCAAACAGGTTTGTCAACAACACCCAGTGACGTAACTCTTGTGGTGGCTACTGCTGCATTCAGTGACCGCTGCGGAAACAAAAGATTCAGTCAGTGCTGTATTGAAAGGACACGTGGATTGGTGTAACATAAGAAGATGGAAATCTGTTTAGTATCTAATTACAATTATTTTATGCTACGAGTGATACAGCGATGGTTTTATTATTTCTCGCTGGAATGGCGAATAATTGTTTTCAATTTCCAAAGATGAGATTAAGATGTACGTGAATCACCTAAAGGCATCGTTATTAGTCATACAACGTCCAAAAATCAGAAATAAATAAGTTTCATTTCACTGCTAGTAGAATTTTATTGACAGATTTAATTCTATCAACATAAAGAAGTTCTTCACTGAGAATATCCGTGTGTGTGAATAAAGTCTCAGAAAGCCATCACGTAGGCTTCAAACAGCATACATCATGTATATTGAAAAAGAATAACAAAAAGCGAGATGTTCAAGGATTCGAATTGAAATTTCCAAGCACTGTTTGCATATGTTCACATCCACATAAATAATATGGCAAATAAACCATCAGAGACACTGTATGTCATTCATTATCTTCATGTCCAACTGCAGGATATTCAGCAACTTTCAAAACATGTTTGTTTGTTTTGTTTTTATTTCATTTCATATATGTTTTAAAACTGATTTAGCAAAAAAAAAGAAAAGAAAAACTTCTTCTTTCCACTGTTCCCTTTAAGGGTCGCCTCAGTGGATCACCACAGTGCCTCTACATCATCCCATCTCATCCTATCATTCCCTTTCACACCAATCCTCTGTATGTCCTTTTTCACTACATCCATGAATCTTCTCTGAAACCTTCCTCTGCTCCTGCCTGGCAATACAGACTAAAATTGTTAACGATTTGATGCCTAATAATCATAAATGTAACTTCAAAAGCCTCAAATGTGTTTTAAACTTTTGAATATTTGTCATTTAAAATGTATTAAAGCAGGTAAAACAGCGTGTCAGTACACCTCACTGGGTTGAGCAGATACAAATAAGCCACAAGGCGATTGCCAAGCCCCACATCTGAATTAACTGAGTGTTTTCCCACTCCTCTCTCTCCTGGCTTCCCTGTTATAATAAAGGATAAAAAGCCCCCAAATAATAATAATTCCATTTTATGGTGTTAATTTATTCCACTAATGGAAGGTGTTTGTTTGTGAACACAAAGGGGGGGAATGGGAATCATGAGAAGTGGGAGGTGTGACTGTTTGCATCATGTACTGAAGCTTCTGATATTTTTTTTCTTCTTGTTTTTGTTGTTAAAAGTCTCCCATCATCTTCACCATTCTTCATGGCTCAGCGGCGCCAGTTTACTGTGCCAGCATCCATCAGTGAACCTGTGGTGGAAAACACACAGACAAGAAAACCTTCATTTGAGTCATCACGCTTCCCTTAGACAGCTCATCAACTTTAGAGCAGTAGGCAGTTTCATATGTATAAAAGATTTTAGAAATGAAACAGAGATTTGCTTTCGTCCGAGCTCTACCTCTAACTTGTTTTAAACTTACAGCTTACATAAATGAAACCATTTACTTCCTGTTCCACTTGTAACTTAATGAAGATAAAGGAAGTGATTATTTTGTAGTTATAATGACAGTTATTATATTTATTCAGTTATTATATTTACATGAAGAAAGGGTCTACTTAGAACAGGACCTGGACTGAATGGATGGATGGATGGATGGATGGACACTGTTCACTGTGTCTCTTGTCTCTTTGTCTTCCACAGCTATATGTTTAGCACCCATCAGCAGATGCAGCTCTCTGCGTGTTTTTTATGTATTTTTTTTTATCTATTATCGTGTTTGGTTTTGTCAATTTTGTCTTTTGTCAGCATCAGTTGCTTGTAAATGTGCTTCATAAATAAAGTTGTTTTGAGTTACTGAATACTTCACATGTGCACAGGGTGTGAGAAGATCAATCAGTAGAAGCAAATACAGGAGGACAAATATCTGAAAAATGAGCACAGCACAATATCCGTGAGTGCATCTCTATCTCCGTCTTAGGTAACAACATCGAAAATGCGTCCTGCTATCTATGGCATGAAAATATTGTCACCTTGATCTAAAGTCTGGAAAAACAGTAAACATTCCTCATCTGCACTAAAGCGGTGCAGTGACTTTGCTGCAGGCTATAATAGCACACATCAGAGTGACTGAAACACGCTATATAACAGGAGGCCAGACTCTTGTCCCACCCTGCTTTCTGGGTTACTGAGGAGTGCAACAAATCAGCTGTATGGGGGCTTACTTGCATAAATGGAAGTGCACAAATTGCACCTACACTGGGCCTTTAAAGGGGCTACCTGTTAGACTCCGGATTGGTTTTAAAAGTCGCTGTATTGTTTCAGACTAGCTCTCGCTCTTTTTCAATTCTTGACCATTTTATTTGTATCATCCTTTTATGATAATAAGTCTGTTAATCAGGAATGGCTGTGGCTCAGCGGGTGATCTACTGAAGGTTGGTTGTTCAATCCCTGGTATCCTTGGGCACGATACTGAACTCTCAGTTCTTCCTGATGTGCTCATCAGAGTGTGAATATGTGTGAAAGGGTGTGAAAGATGTGTAAAGGGCTCCAAGTGCTCAAATAGAGTAAATAAAGCACTTTATAAAAACCAGTCCATTAAATCAAGTGACAATATATATACTGAGGAATCTGTCAATTTTTTATTTGTTTTATTCGAGTGTAGCCTGGATATAGTTGGATATATAAATCTAGTTATAAATGAGTAAAAGAAGACACAATCAGATGAGTCCGAGCCGTAAATGATTGTTAGTTGTTAGACACTGTAATGGCCTGCCCACTCCCGGCAGTTTTTCAGCTCTGCAGCTGGACTGCAGCAGAAAAGTCCCACATGTCGGTTCTGAGCAGTTTTCTCTGAGGAGTGTGCCCGGCTCAGCCCAGCTATGATTTTCATAATCCTGTTCAGCCTCTGATGTTGTTCCCAGAAAGGACTTGATCCCCCCCGAATCTCTAAGCAGCAGGCTCTGTGATTGATCATGTTTACCCTTCTGTTTTCCAGCTGCAGTCTTTAATATCCTGCCATCTTCCTCTTTCCTCCTTACATCAGCATATCTCACACTCTCCATCTTCCTGAATCACTCTAATTAAGTGGTAGCACAGTTGCTTGTTCATATCACCGCATCTCTCCACATCTCCTGACAGATTACACAATCAGCAGGTAATTGTGTTGGCTGTTTTGTTCAGCCTGCGCTGAGACAATCATTAGAGGAAGCGTGAGGCTGCTGCTGCCTCACTGAGGCAGTTTAGAGATGTCAGATTTCTAAACGTGATCAGTTTGTTGCTGAAGTGAATCTCAACTCAGTCGGTTTATGTGCACTTGTCCACAAGAGGGAGGTGAACGTTCACAATGTGGACTAACGCTCACAGGTCTGTGTGGAAAGCATTCTGAATAATGGCCAGCAGGGGGCGACTCCTGCGATTAGAAAGAGAAGTCAGTGAGAAATGGGTCGACTTCACCCAGCTGAACACTTTCCTGATGAGTTTATGATCTCAGCTGCTATTTATATATGATGCTCATTTAGTAAATGATCCCATTAGAGCCAAACTGACTCACAGGTCGCCAACTCATGATGTACCTTGTCCCTCTGTTTCCACGGTACCAATATTTACATCATACACCTCAATAAATCCCTTTACCAGGTAACTTCAATTATCTTTAGTGTCTAAATTTTATTCTTGTTTTTCTTTACTTCTCAGGCTGAGGTCCACATGCATCTGTCCAACTGCTCACATTCTCAAATGCATTTTTGTTGAAACCGGAATAAGAAACCATTACTCTGCACACCTGTGATGAAGGCAAAATCCAGGCTACTTAAAAAGAATTAGTTTTCATGGTTGCCCGGGAGTGCTCTGGGAACCACGCAGTCACAAAGATGGAAGTTACGAAGCAAAGCCGTACTTGGTTCAGAGATAAATAGTTTTTATTTTGGTGCGTGTCACAAACAATTCACAGTCAGCGCCTCGGTCACCAGAAACCTCCATGAGCTGCGGTGAAATAAACACATGCTATAAAAATACGATGATGACATTAAAAATCTGAACCATCTATGAAGGAGCGGCGAGATGGAGTTAATCAAATCAGCAAAGCTTTCTCGTGCAATTAACCGGCCGTTCAAATGACATTAATATTATCTGAAAACATGAGTGGTAGCGCATTAAATGATGTTTGTAAAGCTAAGCTGTGGTAAAAGGCAACATCACACACAGTCCCATGGTGAATGCACACAGATGTGTTCTGCGCCTCTATTCTGGCAGCAGATTTGGGGATTTGGTGGTGAACCGGCACTCAGCTCTTTCCTGCTGCTGCAGAGGCCAAGCCACACACAGTCGGCTTCCTCAGCTCGATTTTCATCGCGTGGCTCTCGGCCCGTGACTCTAACCTTGTCACCGTGGACACGCCCAGGACCGCTTTGCTGCTTGGTTTCATACCTTTTGACACAGGGATCCGTGTTGCAGTGCTCCGACTGTACTGCACATCTGCACTGGGCTACAAAAAGAAGAAGAAGAAAAAAAAAAAAAAAAAGACAAAAGCCAGCATGAGACAGAGACAAGGATCTTTTAATCGTTTTATTAACTGTGTCACTGATTTCACTGAAGCAGGGATGGTGAGAATGTGAGCTCCCCAGTAAGCATGCTTTTGGTGGCTCTGATACACGATCAGTGGACTGAGTGATGGTGGGTCATTTCGGGGGAAGGGGAGAAACTCCTAACGACTAGGTACATAAAGCACCGTATTTTTCGGACCATAAGGCGCACCGGATTATAAGGCGCATTAAGCGAAACAAAACAGTCAGATAAGTCAAACTTTACTCAACTCATTCTTCTTGCTTCGGTCCGTTTACAGCATCCTGCCACGAGATTGCATTTGTCCCCAACCATCGGGAACCCTCACGTTATTGCGTTAAAAGTTAGCGTTCAGTCTCCAGCTTCCCTGCGTTTATGTTATGCTAATATAGCTAGTGATCACATAGCACATCATTCTATACCAGCTAGCTCAACTTCATTAACCATACAACTGTTACTGCCGTTTAGTTTTCTGTCTTTATTTATGTTGGAAGTGATAGCAGAGCTGTACGTTTTAATTTTTTCAGAAATCTCTCAGTCAGGACATGGTATATCATGTTTAGGTGGAAACTAGCAAGCTAACCTCCTGCCAACTTCTAACGCCATTAAATTTAATAAATTCTGTTTTTATGGATGCCTGGATGTTAAACTTCATTGTTACACCTGTTAAAGAAGCAACGCTTATCATTTTAATCAAAGATGAAAGAATTTAGACAGTTTTTAAATCTCAGTGATGCCGCTGTGTTCGTTTGACTTTGCGACCTGAAACGGATGGAGTTTTGTACCCAGAGTACTCCGCGAGGCTCCTGACTACGGTAGCCATAATGCTCTGACAATCCATCAAGCTTACCAAAGTTGTACTAAAACATTCGAGGTCAGTAAGCGCAACCAGCATTCATACATAAGGCGTACCGGATTATAAGGTGGACTGATGATTTTTGAGAAAATTATAAAATTTTAAGTACACCATATAGTGCGGAAAATACAGTACACTGAATTTTGTATTGCTTTGTGATAACTTTTCCATTTCTGTTATATTATGAAATTATGTAGTTCACTGCTGCTGGCGTTCATCATTCTGCACAAAAAAAAAAAAAAAAAAAATCAAGCCCAAGTACCAGAAAGCTGCAGTTCCTGTAGTGACCACTTGAGGCTGGCTCTAACGGTGAGTCACTCAGACGCAAAGGTTAAAATAAGAACTACTAACACACCCATTTAAACTGTCCAAAGGTTTAATTATGCATATTTAAGGGAGTGTTTTGGTTGTACTTAAATACACTCTTAGGAATCAGCTGTTTCGTTTTTAGCATTGTTAAATATTAGTTTTTTCTTTGTCCATCAGTTATCGGGATCTTCTTTGTGTCTCAGTTGTACAGATGTACTGTTTTCTTACCGATTCTTTATGTATAAATCCCAATTTAAACATTTATTGATATCTTTTCAGGTAAAGTTGTTTAGCAGTTTAACCTGAATGTCCACAAAACCTGATTTTCACCTGAATGTATTGATTTGACCAAATCAGCACTTACTGGACCTTTTCGCACCAGTTTGTTAGGGTTATGTTGAGGTGACTTTGGTAAATGTAAACCTTAAGTGCTCAAAGTCAAACCTTCAGTGCTCAGTAGCTGCTATAACTTAGTTTGAAAAAGTGAACTTGTCAGTTTGTAAATTTATGCTTGTGTAGGAAAAGCCTCTCTACAGTGTTGAGCAGTTCTGGGTAAAGCATTCTGGGGTTAGTTCAGATTATATATTCACAAATTCAGTGTTTAATACCTGGACAGAGTGCTATCTAGGAAGCACAGACCACCTGTTTTCATTTTGAAACATTTCAGAAGCAACTGAAACGCAAAAAAATTGGAAACACTTCAGCCATTGCTGGAAACAAAGAGGAAGATATTCATGCCTCTAGGTTTGTATTCAGGGAGAGAGACAGATGGAGGTCATTAGAGCTAATGATCTCACCACTGACTGCGTCGGCCTGGAGGCGGCCGAGGTGATAGGCGTGATCGTTATGCTGCTTGTCATTTTGCTCGGAGTGGTTTTCCCCGCTTGGCGTGGAGAGCGGAGAACTGTTCCCGTTTCTCTGCTTTCTGAACTCAGGCCAGTTGGCCTGAGTGTCAGCACAGGACTGCTGCAGGCCTCAGATGGCCTCTTAAACTGTGGACCCAGGTGGATGTGGATCTTGTTGTCCTCCGTTGTGATGATGTTGCTGTTGTATTTCCTGACAGGTGCAGTTCCAGGCTGCTTCTCTGGGGTCACCTTGATTACTGTGCAGCCTGTGGAAACTTCGTGAGGCTCAGATAAAGCACACGCTTCAGCCACAGGGGTGGTGCTGACCGTGATGATGGACACTGGTGACTGATGGCTGCTCCCACCATTCCTCTCTGGACTCTTTGCTCTGGAGATGGTGGTGATTGTGACAGGAGATTTGGCTCGATTGAGACCTTCCATTCCGTCACAGGTTTTGGTCTTTGAGGTCACGGTCGTGGGTTTAGGGACGATTGTGATGCGGGGTTTCTGAAGACCGAGAGTCGGGATGATGGTGGTGCTGGAGAAGAAATCTTCAGCTCGAGGGCTGGTGATCTCCAAGGTGGCAGTGCTGTTCCCGTGATCTGGGGTCACTCTGATATGAAGTGGCTGACCCGGTTTTTGGGACATGGTTGCCTCCGGTGAATGAAGCAAAGAGACCCCGTGGATCTTCTCAGGAGTGGTCTGCGTGATTGTGATGGCCTCCTTCTTTTTCATCCAGGGTATCCAAGACTTTTTGGCTCCAAGTTCCGCTGAAGCTGGAGGGTATCGTTCGAGAACTGTTGGCTTCTTGAGACTGTGTTGCCTGAGGTTACTCATCAAGTGGTTCTCCTCAAGAACTGATTTCCGGATAAAGCCAGCTGCCGTCTCGTCCTCTGCGGGCTCGCTGGCCAACATATCTGTCTGGACGGCTGTGGAGGTAACCGGGACATCCACCATCCTCCTGCCATTCATGCTTGGCCTCAAGGCACGACTGTACCGCTTGGCAGCTTCAAGCTCCTTGTTGAGGTTCTGCATTTCTTGGCTCATGCTCTTATTCTTCTCTTCCTCCTCCATAAATCTCTGCTGGAGGACAGAGAAGTCAACCTGCAGCTGGGAGAGCTGGTCCTCTTTGTTCATCAGCTCGTGGATTTTCTCCTTTAAAGCCAGAACATCTGCCTGCAGATCTTTGGTTTTGGCCTCCTCCATCTTACAGCGAATTCTCAGCTCAGCCTCAGGACTCATGACTTCTCCTTTCTCTATGGCTTTGTTTCGGGCAATCTGACTTTTCATCTCTTCCAGAAGCTTTGATAGAGCATTTGCTTTATCCTGCTCTGTCCTGAATTTCTTTTCAAGCAGATCATACTCATCTTCGGTTTTCATCAAATCGCCCTCAACCACCTCAAGATGTTTGAGCCGGCTCTTCAGTCTTTCGATTTCTAGCGTGAGCTCTGTTACTTTGTTATCCTCTTCTGGATTTTGGTTATTTTCCTTGCTGGCCCGCTTTCTCTGCATTTCCCTCTCCATTTCCTCAAGTCTGTCTATCGTCATCTTCATCCCACTCAGCTTGCCATTTAGCTCCCTACACTTTTCCTCTTCACCTGCCAGTTTATTCTTTAACTCATCTCTCTCTTTGGTAAGCGTCGTCACCTGGATCTCCATCTCCGATTTGTATTTCAGAACTTTTTTGCTCTCCTCTATCAGCTTCTCTGTGACCTCTGTCACCTTCCCCTGCTCTGCTTTGAATGTCTTACTTAAATCATCACTTTTCAGCTCTTCCTGTTTGAGTCTTTCTGCCATGTTTTTGCGTTCATCTACCAGAATAACCGTGAAGGACTTCAGCTTCATGAGCTCGTCTTTAAGGGCCATTTCCGCTTTTTCAAACTTTGACTCTGAGGACTCGAGTTCCTTCATCCGGGTTTTCACCATCTCCAGCTCACCGGCCAAATCCTTCACGACACGTCTCTCTTTTTCCAGGTTTGCGTGAAGCTGTGAGCACTCCGTTTTGCTCCTGTTAAAGATTGCCTCCAGTTTCTCCAATTCAGCCATTCTCTTCTGGAGTTTCTCAACTTCCAACTTCAGCTCCTTGCTGTGGTTCTCCTCTTCCTGCAGCTTCTTCCTCAGCTCCCTGCACTGAGTCTCTGTTTTGGTAATCTCCTCATCTTTGCCCTCCATCTCCAACACTTTCTTACGCAGATTCTCCAGCTCGGCCATGAGTGAAGAGTTCCCACACTCTCCTTTGCTGATCTTCTCCCTCAGCTCCTGCAGGTCCTCCTCTGATTTCTGCAGGACTTTGTTGCTCTCTTCCAGCTCTTCAATCTTGCGTGTCAGTCCAGCCAGCTTCAGCCTCAGCTGCCGGCTCTGGGACTCCTGTTTCGCCAGCTTGGCGGTCATCTCCTCATGCTCCTGTGTGAACTTTGCTGCTCTCTGCTCTAGCTCGGCCTCCAGCTTTAGGACCTTCTGGCTGCTTTCCTTGGCGGTGTCGCTGACAGACGCCAGTCGCTGCTCTTTTTCCTGAAGCTTCTGAGTGAGATCCTGGATCTTCTGGCTCTGCTGGTCGATCTGCTCAATGTGCAGCTGTCGCTCGTCTACCAACATCAGGGCAAAGGACTTGAGCTTCACCAGCTCTGCTCTGACCTTCTCTAGCCTTCTGCTGTGCTCCTTGTCCTTACGAGCCTGGTAAGCCTTCTCCTGCTCCAAAAGCCTTTTGAGTCTGAAAAACAAAGACAGTGAAAGATCTTAGTTAATCTCTGCTAAAAAAAAAATTTTTTTTGGAGCACTTGCTTTCATGGACCAAATGTAAATTGTTTGTTTAAAAAAAAAAAAAAAAAAGAGCCAATTCAATTGTAATATTCTTGGGATGGTAGTCCAAAAAGATCCAAGTGCATGAATGCCAGCTATGAGATGGCAGTTTAGATTTGGCAATTTAATTTTTCAGTAAGTTACTACATTGGGTTTACACTTTTTAAATGTAGTTTGTTTCCTTAAAAACAATAATTTATTATTATTATTATTATTATTATTATTATTATTATTATTATTATTATTATTATTATTATTATTTCAAATGTGTACACATGTAAACACATCTATGGGGAATATATAAGATGTTCTTAAGAGGCATTATAAAACACACTCACAGACATCCTTGTCATACGGACATGCAAGTCTCAAGCATTATCTGCATCTCCTAAAGCTTGTATTTCTGATCAAATAGATAATTTGTCATTTGTATATTGTACTTTAGTTTTGTAAGTGCACAATATTGTTTTTAGTTAGGTTTTTTGTTTCTCGAAAGTGAGAAAAATATGTTTCTTTAAGTCTACTTTTAGTTATGAATTCATTTTTTCATGTCATTTTATTCCAGGATTGTTTTAACTCCGCGAGTTTGTAAAGTAGATCAAGTCGAGTAAAACTTTTCCTTTTGATAACAAACATTTTCCATTCTATGTGGATACATTTTCACCTCATCGCCCCTAAAAATTACAAACTAATAGTTGCCTTTAATTTTTATTTTGAACACCGTTTGCAAAGACGGGAAGATAAATGGAGCAATTTCACAGATTTAAAAATGGCATCAGCACAGCAGCACAGCACTGCACAGTGGCCTACAAAACTGAGAACTGAGCTTTTATTTGTAGATGTTTAACTGATCTCTGCTTGAGTCCCTGCAGGTCTGAGAAAGACGCTTTACAGCAGTTACATAAGACACTGGGATACATCAGCTGAGCTCTGGATCAAAAAACAAACCTCCAACCTCTACGCATACACCTTCACAGCTTTATCCTCCAGGGTCAAAAACTTCTTCCCCTCCAAACTGAACTTACCCACCGGCTGGGCTGCAGTGTTTGCTGATCCATCTCTGAGGGTGTTTTTAAAAGTAGCAGCCAGACTGCAGCTCAGCGTCTCCTGGGGGGGTCAGAGAGGGAAGGGAAGGAAGGAGGGGCCCCAACTCCACTGGAAATTAGGCATCACATTCCAAACAGCTCATTGGAGGACAATGAGAAAGGTGGATGTCGTGCTAAACAGCACTGCTCTGCTGGATGGTGATGTCATCCACCCATCCATATATGGACACAGAGGCCCTGCCCTTGTTTGGACACCAAAGTGGGGGGAGGAGGAAAGGCTCAAATCTTCTTCACTGTTTTGCTTTCCCTCTGGGGAAGAAGGCACGACTAGACAGCAGGTGACATGACTCACGTAACGTGTCCACTTTCAAGTTCAGATTTCTTTTTCCTCATCTTTACTTTGGCTCCAGTTTTAACCCTCTGCTACCCGCCATGCAGCCCTGCAGCATTTCCACAGAAACAAGACAACAATGCAAGGCGGGAGTTTTTGTTTGGGAGAGGACAATGCCAGAGTTGCACAGCCTTTCTCATTATAATCCCCTGGTATCGTGCAAAGCGAAAGGACATAGATATAATAATATATTTCTCCATAGTGGCTAAAGGGTGGGTGTGGGTGTGTGTGTGTTCCAGACAGAAAAGGCCTGTGGTTTGCACTGCAGAGGCTGCTAAATGAGCCAAATATGAGCAGTGCAAAGAGCTAACAGATGCTTACAGCTCTTCATTATTCCAAATGCATGTGATACATAAATACCACAGGAACAAGAAGCCACACTGTACAGTAACTGCCTGTGTTTTGTGGCTTCGATACTTACACTTTTGTTGGATGTTTGTAATTTAGAGATCTGGGAAATTGCTTTCTCAGCTTTGTATTTTAAATGAATAAAAACCATGAATGTAATCTTTCTTTTTAAGTTCAGAAAAAGCAAATGCCTATCCTGCCATTCAGTGTAGGAAATACTAGAGGAAAATGAGGAAGTACTCTCATGTGATTAGGGATTAATATCAACAAGGACTTTTTAATAAGTTCTGCTCAAAGAGCTGATGCGTTATCAATTTCTCACCGAGATGTCCCTCAGCCATCTGAGAGATACAGTCTCTCTGGTCACTGCCACCAGGCCTCATCCCACCTCAACATGCCTAAAATACCTCACCTGGGAGGTGTCCCGGTCAGATGCTGAACCACCTCCGCGGGTACCTTAAAGTAAAATAGGAGATCTACTCTGAGCTTCTGACCCGGTGTCTAAGGAGGAGTCCAGACATCCTTGACAGGAAGCATGCTCACATCCACAGTCTCGTTCTTACAGTCACTGGAAACATTCAATAACCAGTAAAAACCAAAGCTTCACCTTCAACGCAGCATTCGCATCACTACAGACTCTGCACCAATTCCTCAAATCCAAACATCTGGCAAGCAAATGTTTATTAAGGTTTAATTCTTTTTAAAATTCGCTTTTTTAAATAAATCTTGGTAAAATACAAAACCACATTTTGTAAGATTTAAAAAAAAAAAAAAAAAAAAACCCACACTGAGCCCATAAAGTTTTTACTGAAGGCCAGAGACTAAGAGCTCAAGTCTTTTTACAACGTCTGCCTAGTTCAAGACACTCCTGCCTTCACTTTTCACCTCCATCTTTTTGACCATCTGTGGTTAGCGAGCATAGCAATCCTGCTGCCAATGTTAGCTAAGAGCTCCACTCAGGTTTGAAGTGTCACTTCACCTGCTGTACCCCAGTATATGAAAAGCCCTGGTTTTAACCATCTTGGGAGTTTCCACTGCTTTGAACATCCATTTAGATATCAACCATCTATCCTGAGCCTACATGAGAAAAGCTCTGAGGCTTTTACACCATTTAGACTTAAAACAAATTTGTTTCGGATTAAAATCGTACCACGCATTCAAAAGTGCAGCTTTTGAATGCGTGTTTGCACATTAAAATTCTTCCCTTCCTCCCAAATTTTACTCCGATTGCTCCCCCATGCTCACAGGACACAGTATCTGTCATTGCTGCCTTGTTGGCAGATGATGGCTCTGCAGAAAGCCTCTCTCTGTGTTTGGGTCTATTCATAGCCTCAGCACTAACCGAAGTCTGTCACAGAGAAGGAAGAGAGCCCCAAACAACCATAAACCAGAGCATGGCTGAGCCCACAGCAAACATCGGGCCAGGAGATGCTGATCTCAAGCTAATAATAGTTGCAGTAATTACCATTAACGTGCTGAACAGACGCGTCAACAGGCACGCTTTGATACAGAGGAGGCACAGTTCATGTTCTGACACAAACTGGAAAATCTCCACCACTGTGAAATTACAGAGAATCAAACCTACATTTTTCTAAAGACAAGCCTGATTTATCGGTCAAAATGTCGATGTCTCAAACCACATTAACCCATAACCACACTGGGCTCAGGGCCCTCTGGGTGGTCATGACAAAAACTGACAAATCCATGTTGCCGAGACTGTTGGATTCCCCCATCAGGAATCGATGCAGATCGACGATATTATATGGATAACAGTTTTCCCCTTCATCAAAGCCACTGAAATTTGTATTTCTATAGTACATACCAGTCATGATGACAAGTCGTTTCTATAAATACATTTTAAAAAAAATAAATGAAAATCATCCAGCAGGCAACAGGTCAAAACAAGAGCTGGAGCTTGGATTCTGTGAGGTAAAGTTAACTTTTACATCACAACCTTTTGGACATTTCTTCCTTCATTAGTTAATAAACATTTGGTTGGTTGCAGCCCTGGTTTGTTTTATTTTAGCCAAATGAATTAAATTTATTGCTTAGATCAAGTCTCTAAATGGCAGGTTTTTCGGCAAAACGCTCAGCCGTAACTCAAAGTAAATGGATGTAAACCCTGCTGGTGCACTGTGGTGGACATGTTTTCATTGAAGGATCTTAGCTTGTTTTTGGTGGGGGCCTTCCAGAGTCAACAGATTCATAAGCTGGTCTCTCGACACTTATTTTGTGTAGCTGTAGTGGTCTGTGACCGTTGTTACGCAAACAGAGCCTTGTAATCGGCCAGCGGGATCTCTGCTGGGAATGACATCATCAGGGTCGACATGTTGGTGATGCGAATCCACACGCTTACTGCAGCCAGCAGGAATGTGTTATCAGAGCAAGGGGAGAGGTGAGATCAGGGCGACGTTAGAGACACAGAGTCTGAAAACTTCCTAACGACCATGAAACTGAACCAACAGCTCTCTAAAAAAAATTCAATACACCTGAACATCTTCAGTGTTATACTTCAGGTCTGTCCTTCAACCTGCAGACCACTGAGCAGGCACCACTGCTTCAGAGTTTAATTCATTTAGATGGTCTTTTCTCTTGTTTTGAGCCATATTCTGTTTACTTGAATGTTAATTTGCAGTAACATTCACTCTCTTTTAACTCTCGTTTAGGTTTCCTCCTCCACCATTTTCTGAGAAAACCAACAGTTAAATCAGTTTATCAGCTACAAACCTAAGTGAATCAGGTTTTTATGACTTTTCCTTTAACCTGCTGCATCTTAAGGAAGCTGATGAGAAAAAAGTGAATGAGGAAGAAAAAAAAAGGAATGGAAAAGCCCCACAATAATGAAGACAGCCAGTATCACACATATTTATGATTCTTAAACCATCACTGAAAATATGAAAGCAAGCAGAAAGATGCTGCTATGAGCCATGCAGACAGATCTGAGACTCGGTGAAGCATTTCTCCACATTCGGGCTGTTAAGAGTTTTTATGGAGCATGAGGAGCAGCTGAAATCTTCTATTGTGCAGATCTTCTTATGCCATCTCTCACATTTGGGCTGTTTTGATGTTGGGTAATGGAGGTCAGTCACTGGAGCCATCAGCATGCCTCAAACAAAGACCTTATCAGATCACTGCACACGTTTTCTGATGCTCAGTTTGGGAGGCCAGAGTTAAACTTTCCAAACCAAACAAGCTCACGAGTGACAACCATTTTCCACCATGTATAAAACCTACTGTATCATCATAAATTCTGCTTTTATTTGGAGCATTCATAACCATAAGCAGCCCAGACTTGAATTACAATGTGCAAAATGTCATAAAGTCAGAATTTGAACCTTTTCAGTCATCATTTCCTTGTTTTTTTAAATAGTCTTACACAAGCTATTTAGTTGGATTTAGTGATTGTTGCAAACTGAAAAAAAAAATTCCATTATGTAAAAGAAAAAAAAAAAAAAAAAAAAAAAAAATGTTCTTATTGTACAGATAAGGCCTCCAATCAGACTATAAAGGATGGATGGAAAGACACCACAGTGCCACCCATTGCTTGATTTTATAACCAAAAGAAAGCTGCCATCATAAAATGTGCAGGTACAAAAACAGTTATCTGCTAATTACTGCCAAGAAACAGACCAACAGTTATATAAAAGTTGAGTTTCACTCACTAAAAATGAAGCACAGAAATCCTGTTTGTTCTTTTAGTACAACCATTTATGTAAAAATTCATATTTTTACTGACACGGGTGGCTACAGCTGCCCTGCTCGGCATCTGCTGCTTAATACGCCAATTCTTGATGATGTTTTTTTGTTTTATTTTGTTTTTTGTTTTTAAAAAAAAACTCATTTAACATAATTGTTATGAAGGAGGAAATCATTTATGGAGATCAAACAGTTGGAACCACTTTGTGAAGAGGCTTTTTTGAGCCACATTAAGTGTACTGACATTTTCATTTGGAGTAATATTCAATTTCTTTTAGCTCCAATTTTGGTCTCCTCCGCCTCCCACACCATTTTCCACGAGGGGAAAAAAAACAAAAACAAAAAAAAAACAGCAAATGTTGTTTATCAGCTACACTGGCTTTTTCCTCTTACCTGCTGCATCTAAAAGCAAAGCTAATGAGAACCAAGCGAATGAGGAAGACATTAATTTGGACATTTTAAAAACTGGGAGATTATGGGGATTAACTCACTTTTGCAGTTTTATGTCAGAAGCAAAGTTGCTGCTTTAACAGTATTTAAAGCAATGCAGCACATCAGTTCACATCAGTCGCTGCTGCGTGTTCTGTTTTTGCGATGACTCTGTAAGGCATGTTTCACCACCTTGCCTATCAGACAGCATCTAAAACCCCGCTCTAGGTTTTATCTGACCTGGCCAAATAAACATGCATCTGCAGAACACACGTTCTTTCAAGAACAACTCATCTCTCATCATCTTTTAAGAAACGTATCCCTAGAGTCTGCAAATCTTTCTAATCCCATGGAGTGAAAGATCACAGCTTGGTGGACTTCTAAAAATACAAACATTACACATAACATCAAATGATTTCAGCATCCGGCAGTGTTTGGTGTAGTCGCATTACTTTTGTCATGATAGCTTGATTTCAAAATGTTTTAAAAATCCATGTGGGAGATGGAACAAAAAGGGGTGATGAGCACTTCTAGTTTGAAGAGTGTGGCTAGAAGCTGAAGCTGTTCAGCACAGCAAACTGAGCACAGGATTGAAATTTAAGTTTTTCTATTAAAAAGTTTGGGGTTTTCTTTAGCAGAGCTGAGCAGCTTCAGCTCATGATAACAATTTTTCTGAGAAACATCTGTGATGCAGATCCTTCCATTTGCTCTTTGTTTTTTTGCAGAATACTTTGTGTGTGTGTGTCCATATGCACTTGCATCACTAACTTCAGGGTGAACTTCAACTGAACTTCAGGGCTTTTTCTGTAAGCCACATGACATCAAAGCTCAATAGAAAGCAACGCTGACCCTCTCTTAGCAATTTAGCTTTCATTTTCAGCAGGTAACCAAGGCAGATATGGACAGGCTTGTAAGCCTGATGATGCAGTCCCAGCTTTACTGCTTTCTACAGTAGAATCTCACCATTTTTCTGCTCCGTGGCCTCGTTTTCACCCACTTTACTATCAGCTTTGTCCCAATACTAAAAACTACTGAAAGAAAATTTGTGCAGATTCAGCTAGCTAATAAAAGCAGAAAAGCTTAATTTAAAAATCAACAAAGATCCAAACACCACACTGGGGACAAAGTTAACAGGAACACAGTTGATCAAACAAAGACAGAGAGGACGAGAGCAGCTAGGAAACAAGACACAGGTGGAAACAGTTAAGGTGGAGCAAACAATCAGAAACACAGGGTGAAAAACCAACAGAAACTGAATGTATATGAAAAAATATTCATAGTCACCCCTTAATTCAGGTCATGAAGTCTTGAGCTGACCGTTTTCCCCACCACCATCTAGGTGTTTTGAAACAGGATTTGACATGCAGAGAGGCGGATCTGACTAGAAACTGAGGTTACTGCGTGCTCATTGGATAAGAGCTTGTGATTTTCAAGTCATTAGCCAATGAGCATAACCCTCTGTCATTCTAAGGTAAAATTTATGTTGTATTTAAATCACACAGGCCTAGAGATTGGTTTGCGACCACCTGGCAACCCACTGGTTGCTAGAGGAAAAGCGAGTAATCAAGTGGTGGCCAGGGAGATTGCAGAGTGGTTTGTAGGCCTGTGTAACCAAAGCCATTAACTCATCATAATCGCTGAGCGGTGTGTTCCCATGAATAACTGGAGTTCCGATGAGCTGCCCCCTGCTGGTCATTTGATAGAATGCAGCAGCGCCTGAGAACAGATGGCCTGGATCAACTTTAACAGCGGGGTGTTTATTTTTTAAAAGAAAAGGGAGAGATTAATGGGCCACCTTCACAATACACAGCAAATTCAGGCATAAACAATCCATCTGAAACCACACCATGAATGCTTACAGCGAGTTTGCAGGTTTTAATTGAGCTGAATCCAGAACTGAAGTCAGAATCCTGCTCCTCATATACACGGTCTTAAATAATCAGGCAACATCTTATCTTAATGACCTTGTAGTACCATATCACCCCATTAGAGCACTTCACTTTCACACTGCAGGCTTACTTGTTGTTCCTAGAGTATTTAAAAGTAGAATGGGAGGGAGAGCCTTAAGTTTTCAGGCCCCTCTTCTGTGGAACCAGCTTCCAGTTTGGATTCAGGAGACAGACACTATCTCTACTTTTAAAATTAGTCTTAAAACTTTAAAACCTTTCTTTTTGCTAAAGCATGTAGTTAGGGCTGGATCAGGTGACCCCGAATCCTCCCTTAGTTATGCTGCAATAGGTGTAGGCTGCTGGGGGATTCCCATGATGCATTGAGTGTTTCTTCTTCACTAACTATGTGTTAATAGACCTCTTTGCAGTGAATCATACTTGTTATTAATCTCTGGCTCTCTTCCACAGCATGCCTTCTATCCTGTCTTCCTACTCTCTGCCCCAACCGGTCGCAGCAGATGGCCGCCCCACCCTGAGCCTGGTTCTGGCAGAGGTTTCTTCCTGTTAAAGAGAAGTTTTTCCTTCCCACTGTCGCCAAAGTGCATGTTCATAGGGGGTCATATGATTGTTGGGTTTTCACATATTCTATTATTGTAGGGTCTACCTTGGAATATAAAGCATCTTGAGGCGACTTTTGTTGTGATTTGGCACTGTATAAATAAAATTCAATTGAAAATTGAATTGAATTGGTTCGTGCGCTCTTGGCATCTTGGTACAGATGTTCCAAGCTGCTATAACTAACAAGGGCTTAGTTGTTAGTCCAATAATTTACAATAATCAGCAATGTGGGCATTTTATTAGCATTTTCATTATCAGCTGACGAGGCACAAAAGCTAACCTTCAAAATAAAACAGGAAATAACCTGAAGAAGGATCACAAAGGCAGAAGGGGACGCAAAGAGGCACAAAAGTTACAACGGGGCCGTGGAATAATGCAAAACTAATAAAAGCAGAGAAATATGAGTAGGCAGAGTAATGCATCACTTTAAAAAGCAATAAAGATTCAGTTGTTATAGATTATGTTTTTGGCTCACAAGACCACAAAATGTTGATTAAACCGCTGCTAAAAATAGTTCACAGCAGCTTATAAAAGGTGCAGTAATCCACCTCCAGCTTCATTTTAAACATCATAGTTTGAGCTGATTTTAAACGTTTTCTTTTATCTTCTTCAGGGACCATGTGGCTTTGAGTTTTAGAGATGGACTCATTTTGTTGGTTTTGGCAGACTAACTAACTTTTTTCTTCAATATTTGAGACTGTTGAGCTCTTTTCATGCCAAAGTAAGCAATCTAAAAGAAAACAGGTACTTTTGTCCAGCCAGCCTGAACTCACCTCTCTCTCTCCTGCTCCAGCAGGTTGGTGAAGTCGTCACTCTTGTTGATGAAGTCCGCGTGCTTTTGCTTCTCGTTGTCCAGCTCCATGACGGTGCGGCGGTGGCATTTCTCAGCCAGCAGCAGCTGCTCCAGCATCCGTCTGTACGTCTCCTTCTGTTTGTCCTCCAGACGGTCCAACTAAGGGCAAAACGCGTCAACACTCATTATGGACAACAACCCGCTCTCTAACATCGCATTTGCCAGCACAATATCACAAACCATTAGCCATGGTTACGGTGAGATTGTACTTGTGGGAGAGACTCTCTGCACACAATTCAAAACTTGTCACGCTTACTGCACATTTGTTCAGCCTTTCTTCCTCCACTGCACCCGCAGATTTCACCGAGCATGGAAAATCAGGTTTTGCTGCCATTTTGCTCACCAGAGAATCACTTTAGGATCTAATTTCAATCTTTCTTTTTTTTCAAGAACTCCAAACCAAAGTTTTACAATAACTGTTTTATAGCTGGATATAAGTTGAATTTACTCTGTGTGTGTCTGACTGAGCACAGTGAGGACATTATTTCAAGCTGTGGTTACTCCACCTTCCTCTATAAATCATGTGTTGTCTCTGTATTCAACAGTCAAAGCTTCGACGTTTCCTTTTTAGCTTAGGTTCAGTTCACAGTCTCATTTACAACAGTGTATCATCAAATAATTGTTTTTATTATTATTATTTATTCCTAAAATAGCTCGGTACCTTTGAGATTAATGCACTTTTTTTGCCACTGTGTGCTCTGATCCAGTGTAAAAAACTTGTCATTTCCTTTTAAATGATGAAATGAAAGTTATCAGTGTGCGTATCTCTCACTGACCTCAGCCATGGGCTTCTCGTACACATCATCTGTGCTGCTGCCACTGTGGGTGAGCAGGGCGTCTCTCTGCAGGGCCTGCAGGGGTTTGGTGGGCACAGCCGAGCCATAGTGGGCCTCCAGAGTCTCAGGACGGGTTCTCTCGGACTTCAGCAGCCCGATGATGTCCTCTCTGGCCTGAGGAGACATAACAATGAAGGCGTATTGCATACATCCACCTCATTCATATATTATACTGTGAATATTTCTTTTCAGAGGTTTGGTCAGCACTTCCTGACAGAGAGAGAGAGCTGAGACACTCAAATGAGACAAAGCTGACTCCAAATAAAACAGCATGCAAAAAGCTTTGCGTCAAAAAAAGCTTTGCGTCAAAAAAGCTGGAATGATGCAATAAAAATACAGATTATAAAACATATCACATGATTTGATCATTTTAATCTAAAATAAGCTCTCCAATAAAATAAAAATGGATTGCATTTATATAGCGCTTTACAATTCCACTATTCATTCACTCTCACACACTGGTGTGAGTAGTCTGTCATTCTACCCACAGCTGCCCTGGGGTAGACTGACAGAAGCGAGGCTGCCATATTGTGCCATCGGCCGCTCTGGCCAACACCAGTAGGGTAAAGTGTCTTGCCCAAGGACACAACGACCACAACAGAGAGAGCTGGGCGATTGAACCAGCAACCTTCCAGTAACAGATGAGCTTCCCAACCCCCTGAACCACGGTCGCCCCAAATGCTAATGCAAAAAACAAAACATCATCAACTGCCATCAGCTTCAGTAACAAACATTAGACACAGCTTTGCATGATGCACAGTTCAAAATAATCGTTCTTTATTTTATACCGAGCCTTGGTGCAGCTTCTCTAGTCATCATTTGTTTAAAATAAAATAACTCCTCCCCTTTTAAGCTAACGTTTCTCTGATAGGCTGACCTTGTAAACAGAAGGTTTAAACAGCAAATGGGAGGGGCTTCTGTCAGTAGAAGGCAAAACTGGTCTCCATGACATGTATAAATAGAAAAACCCTGCAGGAATTATTTGCACATACACTGACATCATTATTTGAAACTGTGGGCATGTTTAATACGAGCAGCCACTGTTTGAACAGCATCCATTTGACAGGAACTAAGAGGCAGAGCAGATGCCCTTCTAGTTTTATGTGCAGTCTCATCCCTGACCTTCCAGGTTTGTGCCAGCAGGGAGCGCTGTTTCCTTCATACAGCATTTCATTTCACAGATCTACAGCTATGAAGCCTGCTTGGTTTATTAAAAGCATCACAATCACCTCTATTTTCACAGCACTGGAAATATACATTGATTTAAAAAGCTGTTTTTACGTTACAGCCATTTAAAACATCCGCACACCTTCACCAAAGGGGGTCTGTAGTCTGCTGCTCCACCGTCTCAGTGTGTGCTGTGACATCTAATTCAGAGCCTGTGTTCTTACTTTGTATATCTCATACAGCTGTTATCGCAGCCAGCCGTGGATCCTGAAGATTATAGTTGTGATCTCATAGAAAGCATCAAATCTCTGTCCTGTTATTTTCTGTCTTTACCCTACATGTCACTAGTGAGCTATTTAGACCAACACATGGTGGTGCTGAGATGAGCAGGATAAATGTGCATAATAGAAGTCCAGAAAGTAAGCAAGAGAGGAACTAAATTAAAGGAGAAAGCAACAAGATCAAAAAGACAAGGAACGGCTGAAAAAATGCAGATAGGTTCACAAACTGACAAACAGTGAGGAAAAGCACAAAAGCACAGCAGAAGGACAGAAAGTCAAACTGCAGCGTGTGCAGCTGAAAACAACCCGCCAAAAACTGCATTTCCCCACATGTCCACTCAAGACTGACGCTAAAAGTGAGTTACAGCTTTTGGGGCTGCAGATGTCTGGAGGAGCGTCCTCCTGTCAATCAAAGTAGCTACGCCCTGAACTTTAAGTAATGACAAAAATCAGGTGGATAAGTTTAAAAAAAAATTGACCTCCAGAAAAATTAACTTTTGATAGAGACCACATGCAGCAGTCTTATATGCTGACCTCTAGTGACCATTGGAGGAACTGCACTTTAACACCGGCTCGGTTTTTCAGCTCCCGGAGTTGCGGCTTGAAAGTTGACATGTGGCCACTCGATTGGTGTCCTAGCTGTAGCTGCTAGCTGTCTGCTGGGCTTCACTTCAGCTAAACTGGACCTCTGGGCTGTGTTTGTTCTGTCAGTGACTTTAAGAGCATTTTTTATTTCATTCTTAATTTCTCAGAGATTAGAAATCAGTGGATGACATCATAGTGGCTACACCCATCTTTTATTTACAGTCTATGGTTGAAATGCATAAATGAGACTTTATTTAAAAGGATGCTCTTGTCATGGTTAAAAATGTGCTTATTTAGCTTGAATCTAAAGCAAAGCCTGACCCTAAATAGGTCACCAGTAACCTGGCAACGTTCCTTTCTCAAACAGGAAGAAAAGGAGTGTGTATGATGGGGAGTATTTTCAGCAGTGGTTAATCCACATTTGATACTCATGTGAGGTTGTATGTGGGTCTGGTTTAAATAAACTGCAGTGTGTGTGTTCATAGTGATGAAGTATCATATCACCCGAGGGAAGAGTGCGGCTCACTGATGTGTTTTTAATAGTTCTTGGACGATAACGGAGCTCAGAGGAATAAGATATATAAAGGTTTAATCCACAGTAGTGGCATGTGATCAGCGTTAGTTTAGGTATATTTATGAGATTTGTCGACTTGGAGAAAACACATGATGATGTTTGTTGTATTTCTGGCTCTGTCATGCTGCAGCAAACTCTCCTTTTGTGTCTAAAATCTTGATCCGTTTTCTATTCCTGAGCACCTGACACGTGAAACAAAGCAGAAGAAAAGCAGCTCTTCCTGTGTGAGACATTGCTCTGTGCTGATTATTTCTCTGCCTGATGGAAAATATTCAACACGCCCAAACAGATGAGCAGGATGGAAACAGAGGGCGAGGCAGCAGCATCCTGCCTCTCCGGAGAGAGCTTTATAAATGTGCCTCCATTAGAAAATCATTATCAGAGTGGAACCCAGAAGCAGCTGGTGGGCTGTTTCCACAAAAATCTCACCCATCACATGCTGTGAAACATCAATATGTCTCAGCGATGATGAAAAACTCCACTGCATTTATGGCTTTCACATCCCCAAACAGCTTCAGGCAAAGAAAAAGAAAGGAAATAATCAACACTTCAGCTTAAACGACTGAGCTGTCAAATAAACACTACTGCACCATCTCAACCAATACAATTAATTATTAAGACAACTGATCCTACTGTAATCAAACTCAGCTGATTCAGTCAGGTGTCCAGCATGTTCTCAGAGGTTCTGCAGGTATAACGCCACAGCCATGGCGGACATTATTACTGTCTGATGGTATGATGGCTAAACCCGTACATGAAAAGATGTTGACACTGTTTCCATGCACGATTGAAGTTCAGTCAGACATAGACACACTAGGATTACCAGAGCATATGCTTGTAAATATAATGAACACTTTTCAAGCTATGTGCATATTTACATTACATTACAGATAAGAGGAAAACAGCTGTCCAATGGCTAAAAGAAGCAGCAGAAAGAGTCTCCAGCTGGTTGTGGTATAAGCAATAAAAAAAGCCCGGAGGAGATGGGCAGTAACCACTCTGGGAAGGCTTCACCTGGTGACCTCTCCTCCACCTCAGGGCTGGATCCATTAACCCTTGTGTGGTGTTCGTATTTTTGTTACTCAGCCAGTGTTCATGGGTCTGGTGGACCTGCTGGAGTTTTGGCTTTCCAAATTAACACTATCAAACAATTTTATGTTAAATTACTCAACAGATGTTTACTTCATCCCAATTACAAGACATATGAACAGCAAACATGGTTAATTTTTTTCCCTTTACCTTTGTTAGATCACATTTATGAATTAATGTGCTTCTCGTTTTTCTTTTATATAAAATGTTATAAATAAATCAGTTATAATCAAGTGGAGTGAGTGGAAAGACACAACACATTTACACGTGAAAAAATAATTAATTGTTTAATTTTTCTTTTGAAAAAAACTGAACACGGGTCTCACAGACCCGAACACCATACAAGGGTTAAAACCAAATGGAGTAATTAGGCGTCTTTGATGTAATGAAGCCCCACCGTTAACAGAATGCTTTTCTAACCAATCAGACAACTCAAAGAGCTTTAGACTATGAGCCACATTTAACTATACATTCATGCAACGCTGCACTCTTTAAGCACTTGATCTACTTCACATCCACAACCAATAAAGAATCATCACTTAACCTGGCATGCATGTCTTTGGACCTGTAAACAAGATTAAATAAATAAATGTGTACTTTATTGATGCCCGTGGGGAAATTCCTCTCCGCATTTAACCCATTCACCCTGTGAAGCAGTGGGCAGCCATTGGGCGCCCGGGGAGCAGTGTGTAGGGATGGTACCTTGCTCAGGGGTACCTCAGGGTAGCCGTTCAGTGAAACCCCCGACCTTCCGATCATGGGGCCACCACTCTACCTACTGAGCTATCCCTGCCCAAAGCAGGTTCAAAGTGACCACTCAGCCTTCGCTGTCTGTATTAATGAGCCACACCAGCGGCTTTGACAAACTACTTTTTGCTCCGTGAATGAGAACGAGTCAAAGGTTTGGTTGAAAATACACTTTCGTTTAGGGAACATGGTTAAATATGAATAACCAAATCGAGTTACTGAGCTTTCTCATTAAATAAGGACATTTCTTTGAACTTTAACCAGCCACCATCTGAATGCACGTATTCCCTCTCAGATGTAGTTGGCAGCGCTCAAGCCATCAGTTCATTAGAGATTTGCGTGAAATTGGTTGCCAGACACATAAATGTGTACAGATGGTGTGCAATAATATGCATGTGAACATACGTATGAACATGTGATCACTGTACAGTATGGAAATGTTCATGACCATAATCACAAATGTGCAGTTAAATTAAATCAAATCAAACTGGAAAAAATGGGAAAGGGTGATTTTTCAATGCAACTGCTGCAAGGTGCAAACAAAAAGGGACAAATTTACAAAAATATGTCACATGACCTTGATGTCATTCATACCTGAACTTCTCCCTCCATGACTCCTAGCAGGTGAAGCAGGTCCTTCTTGGACAGATCTGGTGTTGCTGGCTTCTGGCTCTCTGCAGCTTTCTGAGGTTTCTTCACTGAGCCCGATACCCCCGTCCTCCCATCCTTCTCCTCTCGGTGAACTTTCATCTTCCTCTTCGTCAGCTCCGACATGTTTTCATCTTCCTGCTTGATGAAACCTTTACTGGGCTGGATGTGTCCATCATCTGGACCTTCCATGGTGCAGGTCCTGGATCGCATGTTTTTACCTGTGGGAAAGGGGGAAAAAATGGAGACCATTAAGTTAAAAAAA